AACATAAAAAACTTTTTTATTTTAAAGGGAACACCCTATATATTTTTTAAATTTAGGATTCAGCATGAAATTCTGTAAACAATGATACCATATTTGTCTATTCTAATTATAGCGGATTTGGCGTTATTCATTTTTTTTTTAATTTTTAGTCGTCGCGCCGGTAGGCATTTTCTTAAAGTCGACTGTCTCAGGTACTATTTCTGTTGGATACTTGAAATTTTAGCCAGAAGTAGTAGATGGGATGTACTTTTAAAAACATTTACAGTTTTCTGCAACAAAATATGTCGTTTAAAAAGTTTAAATTTTTTTAATGATAAGGTACATACTAACTAAAAACATTTTTTATTAAAAGCACATGGTTTAAAAAAATCATTTTATCAAATGTTCAAAATGCCCCCCGTTAGCTTCTAAAATTTTAACAATCTTTTTTCAACATGATTAGTTGTTGCTTTACGAATCATTTCACCATCTAACTCGTTAAAGGCATTCCGAACTCTTTGCTCTAATTCTTCTTTAGTATTAATTTGGGTAGAGTACACTAAATTTTTAATATGACCCCATAAAAAAAAATCAACAGGAGTTAGATCTGCCGATCTTGCAGGTCAAAGCCAAAGACCATTTGGACCTATCCATCGGTCTTCAAAGAGTGCTGTAATTTCTTGATTTATATAGTATGTTGAATGTGCTGGGGCAACATCCAACTGGTACCAAAAATTATTATTTGGTAGCTGGTTTAAAATGTCGGCAAGTACTTCTCTAAGAATTCTAATGTATCTTTCTGAGGTCAGTCTTTCATTATAAATGTAATAAAAAGCTCTTCCAAAACCGATCACTGCAAACACATTAAAACTAAATTCGTACTGAAATTGTGCTTCACGATAAAAATGTAGATTTTCGTTTGCCCAGAAATGACATTGCTTGCGATTGATGATCCCTTTACGTGTAAATTTCGACTTGTCTGACCACAAAATTTTGTTTAAAATCTCGGGATCTTCTTGAATTCGTACCAATAACCATTCGCATAATTCAGTTCGTCTTATTTGATCACCATCTCGCAACTCATGAACTTTTCTTTGTGCATAGGGATGCCATTTATTTAGTGCTAAAATTCGTTGTATTGACCCTCGACTAATATTTAAATTATCTTGAGCCATTCTAATGGAGGCGTGAGGATACGCAGTAAAATACCCTAATACGTTAATTAGATTAACTTCTTCATCTCGGACATAATGTTGACGGTTTCTTCCCGGGTTTTGTTTAAAATTATTCAAAAAGTTAGCTTCGATTCTATCAAATTTCTGTCTGTTCATTGGTGGTAAATGAGGGTATCGTTCATTAAACATGCGACAGGTTCTACTTTTGATTCGATTACATTCTCCATGAATGTAAAATAAATTAAGAATATCTTGGTTGGTATATTCTTCAATATTTTCCATATTTTCCATATTTTGAACGCAAAAAATACACAACTTAAATACATAGAAATATGACAATTTAGTTTGTTGACAGATTGTTGTTTAGCATATTTCCACGGCATACTAAGATACAAAATTAAAATGTAAAACTATACTATATTATGTAGGTGCATGCGTAAAATTTAAATTTTCTTAAAATTGGCGAGAGATAATTATAGGGAATTAATAGTGCAAATGAAGATCAATGAAGAATAATTTTCTGAACAAAATGAAATAAAAATATACAGGATTTTCCATTTAAAATAAAAAAAAATTTCATGTTTAAAATATTTATTTTTTAAAATAATTTTCAAACACACAGTCGAACAAACGATGTACAAGTAAATTTAAAAAAGCGAATGTCTGCCGGCATATAAAAGTTTATAAAAAACTGAATAACGCCAAATACACTATAATTAGAATAGGCGAATGGGGTATCATTGTTTACAGAATTTCATGCTGAATCTAAAATTTAAAAAATGTATAGGGTGTTCAATTTAAAATAAAAAAGTTTTTTATGTTTAAAAAATTTCATTTTTAAAAATAATTTGCAAACACCCCGTACAACAAATAATGAATAACTAAATATTCTCAAGAAGTACATCCCATCTACTACCTCTGGTTAAAATTTTAAGTATCTGATAGATATAGTACCTGAGATAGACGACTTTAAGAAAATGTCTACCGCGACTAAAAATGTAGAAAAAAATTGAATAACGCCAAATCCGCTATAATTAGAATAGGCAAATGGGGTATCGTTGTTTACAGAATTTCATGCTGAATCTAAAATTAAAAAAAAAATATGGGGTATTCCCTTTAAAATAACGAAGTTAGTGGCCACTTCCGGTATAACCGGAAGTTGCACAGAGTTCATTTTATTTTAATTCAAAAGAGCATATTCGATTATGTATACTCAGAAAATGACGAAAATACAAATTAATTTATTCTCCATAAAGTTGTAATGCCCGCCTTACGTGGGATACGGTGTATAAATGTCATTTTGTTGCAAAAGATGTTTTTAGTTTTATTATTCTTTCTTCAAAACGAATGTTTTGATGGACTCTCGGGAAATTAGGAAGTAGATATTAAAATAGTTCTTGTGTTGTAGCAGTACAATCAGATTTTAACATTGATAACCATCTCAAATACCAATCTATAATTGGATTTGAAGAGTGTGGTAAAATGATGGTGTAATTTAGGAAAAACTGTTTTAATTGCTGTTTCAATGATTTATTTAATTATAATCATTATTGAAATAATCAGTAGTTCAAACATTTTGTTTTCCTTATACCTTTATTTTTCAATAAATTTCTGAAATTTAAAAAAAATAGCCGATATTGGGCCTGCAGTTAGCCGTCGAAGGTTTAGCAGTCCCTTTAAAAGTATTATGGTTAAAGTGACTCTGGGATGTAAAAAACCCTATAACTGTTATTGATGGCAAAACGACTTTATCCCAACTGTCATCCGTAATTACCTTTATATGCCGGCCCTTTGTAGGTAAAAGATAAAAGGCCATCATTATAATGAGAGGCATACAATTATTGGGCGATTATTACCCTAGACAAAAATATTTGTTGGGATATCTTTCAAGTAGTGAACCGAGTCTACCCAGCATGAAACATCATTCCACTTCCTCCCCGCTCTCCTGACTTAGCTCCACGTGTAAAAAACGCAATTAAAAGCAATTAATCTTAGAAAAAAATTATCTAATTTTATTCCTAATCTCTATAATAATATCGCGATTATTTAGATAAAACTTAACGACCCAATTTAAGTATTCGGCGCCCCAATTAAGTGAGGGGCCGCCCTCGACAGTTCGAGAATCACACATCGCTTTGCGATACAATGAATTTACACTAAAAATAGTTCGTATAATATCCGGTAATTCGATGATAATCCTACTTTCAAGTCTAGACGGATTACTCATGCTCGCGGAAATAATATTGTTTAGGTATTATTAAAATAAGTACTGGTTGTGACGTTACGGCCAACATTGCACCTCCCTGCTAGAGCGCGAAATTATCGCACGTGCATTGTTTAAATTCTGTTCGTTTTGTTTTTGGAATTTTATCTTTAGAATTTTAATTTTTAAAAGGTTTTATACTGTTTGTCCCATTTAACTTTTCGAGGATTTAATTTCTTTGCCATTTTCTTTTAATACATCCCTATATTATGCGTGCTTAGGAGCAAGAAGAGATAGATCCAGAACAGATAGTAAAGTTGTTAAAAGAGAAGAAGAGGCAATTAAACTTGATGGTCTCAATGTTGCTCAACTTAAAGAATTAAGAGAAAAGACTGAGAAATTCCAATTTCAAACAGAAGTTACCCAGACAGCACACCAAATCCTTTGGATATCTACTGAACATCCCAATATCCACTGAATGTCCAGTCCATGGTAGATATATATTTTATATCCATGAGATGTAATTTATAGACATGCAAATGTCCATAAATAATAGTAATTATATAGCAAATTATTAAAAAATTACGCCATTGTGGCTAATAGTACCGTTCAGATATTTAAAATTAATTTTTTTAAGGTGTATTCAATATCCCATGAACATCCACTAAATATATCAAAGTCTAGGCGCGAACGCAAACCATCGTGGATATCCACTAGATGTTATTTGATTCTGCTTACTAAGTATAGATGGCGATACCACTATCGCATCTACTCATGCTCGACCCGCCGTAATAGGACTCCATTAGAGACTGGAGTCGGGAATTTCCATTTATTGCTGAAGAGTCCTAATAAGGATGACTTTCTCCTTAGTGGGCAAAATCAAAGGCATCATTGGTTACTTATGAACCTCTACTAAAGATACCCATAAAATATTTTGCTGGATATCCGAATTCTTCTATATCCGGGGATATAGACGGACATTTGGTTGGATATCCATATTGGATATCCACAAAATATATTCTGTGAATATCTCTGGGATTTCTTGTATTGTCTGGAAGATATCCATTAGATATTTTGCTGGATATCCATAGGATATCTTCTATATTCTGGATATAGACGGACATTTGGATATCCATATTAGAACCACGGAATATTTCTGATATCCTGTGGATATATTGGATATCCACAAAAGATATTCTGTGGATATCTCTGGGATTTGGTGTGTTGTCTGGGCACGTTTTAAAATTACCTAGACGTATACAGGGTGTTGCATGACTCACGTACGAACCAAACATCTGTTTTTTTTAACCAGTTTATTATTTTAGATATTAGCCTTTTTTTATTTTTCCAATATGGTGTGTCTAGGTTATTTGGGGTACTCTAAAAGAAATTGACATTTTTGTGGAAAAAAAATAGTTTACTTGTCTATACGAATTTTTTAATAACATAAATTACACTTTTCTTTAGTAACGTTTTTATTTTATACTTATTAGTATGCAGGGTGACCCAAGACTTGGACCATTGATTTTCAGGTTTTATTTAAATGGGACAACCCCATATTTTTTATTACCATAATTTTCAACAAAATAGATGGCAATTGTCAAAAAGTTAAAAGAAATCATGGAAATTCTTTATTCATTTTTATAAAACATAAAACATTAAAACATAATCTTGTCTAATTCAAATTGTTTTCCACGCAGTCGTCAGTATGCTGAATACTATCGGATTTGGTATTCGAATATGTCGTGTCAACGTTTGAATAAGTTGACGTACTGGGACAATTGACACACTCTCTGGTCGCCGTACGTCTGTTAATATCATTTTGATTGGTTGTCAACGGAGCGTCATATTTTCCAAGTTCTGCCTCATACAAAATATTATTTAACATGTTCTAAAATTAAAAATAGTGTCAAAAGAAAAGTTACATTATTCAAAAATATTATTTGACATCCCAAAAATCTCTGTAGGTGTTTGTGTGATCCAAAAAAGTAATGAACGGTCTTAAGCCCTTATCATAAAATTTATAAAATAAAAAAGTATCACTTGAAAAAGAAGAAGAATTGTCATCTGTCAAACTATCACCGATATGCGTGATTTTATCCTTGGTCTACAGAAATATATTTGTTTATGATTCACTTCATAGCAAGGTGGTATGTAACTGCATAGAAATACTTAGAATGATGTACAGGGCGTCAAATAAGAGTGCACAAAATATAAATACCTGAACTGTAGCTCTGGCATAGTGAGTATTTAAATTCCTTATTTTCCTGGAAATTAATTCCCCAAAAATATCAAATTCGTCCTTATCCTTGTTGAAATTCCTTTGTTCGTTAAAAAACTTTTTCATTATATTCACCATTCCTGTGGTAGATTCATCAACATAATTATTCGATTTTTTTTGCTCGTTAATGCTGTTCAATACATCCATCATTTCCGTAGTCTGTTCATTTTGAGGTTTAATTTGTTTGCTTTGCTTCGGTGCAACTTGTTCTAGTTGTTCTTTAAATTCTTGTTCATTCAGATACGCATTCTGGTCGTCTTCGAGAATTTCTTCTTTAATTTGTAGCTCATTTTCAAATTGATGGCTTTCATTAAAATTATCCTGGGAGAATTCATATCCATTTTCATCTGTGGATAGAGATGACTCGCTTACCTAAAATTATAGATGTTAAAATCACGTTTCTGGAGTTCATACTTTAAAATATTCGAGTATACATCGATAACTTTTTTTATAGCTACAAAGAGTTTTACAGCTTACGACAATTTACTACAGTTTAGGACAATTTATAACATTTTATAACAGTTTATAACAGTTTACTACAGTTTACAACAGTTTACAACAGTTTATAACAGTTTATAACAATTTATAACAGTTCATAACAGTTTATAATAGTTTAGTTTATAACAGTTTATAATAGTTTATAGCAGTTTAAAACAATTTATAATAGTTTATAGCAGTTTAAAATAGTTCATAACATTTTATAACAGTCTATAACAGTTTACAACAGACTATAACAGGATATAACAGTTTATAACAGTATATTTATTTATTTAATTCACTATTCAACAGGAAACCTAATTAAATTTATACCTAAATTAAGTTTATACCAGTTTATATAAGTTTATAACAGTTTACAACAGTTTACAACAGTTTACAACAGTTTACAACAGTTTACAACAGTTTACAACAGTTTACAACAGTTTACAACAGTTTACAACAGTTTACAACAGTTTACAACAGTTTACAACAGTTTACAACAGTTTACAACAGTTTACAACAGCTAACAACAGCTAACAACAGCTAACAACAGCTAACAACAGCTAACAACAGCTAACAACAGCTAACAACAGCTAACAACAGTTAACAATAGTTTACAACAGTTAACAATAGTTAACAATAGTTAACAATAGTAAACAATAGTAAACAATAGTAAACAATAGTAAACAATAGTAAACAATAGTAAACAATAGAAAACAATAGTAAACAATAGTAAACAATAGTAAACAATAGTAAACAATAGTAAACAATAGTAAACAATAGTTGACAATAGTTGACAATAGTTGACAATAGTTGACAATAGTTGACAATAGTTGACAATAGTTGACAATAGTTGACAATAGTTGACAATAGTTGACAATAGTTGACAATAATTGACAATAGTTGACAATAGTTGACAATAGTTGACAATAGTTGACAATAGTTGACAATAGTTGACAATAGTTGACAATAGTTGACAATAGTTGACAATAGTTGACAATAGTTGACAATAGTTGACAATAGTTGACAATAGTTGACAATAGTTGACAATAGTTGACAATAGTTGACAATATATGACAATATATGACAATATATGACAATATATGACAATAGTTGACAATAGTTGACAATAGTTGACAATAGTTGACAATAGTTGACAATATTTGACAATATTTGACAATAGTTGACAATAGTTGACAATAGTTGACAATAGTTAACAATAGTTAACAATAGTTAACAATAGTTAACAATAGTTAACAATAGTTAACAATAGTTAACAATAGTTAACAATAGTTAACAATAGTTAACAATAGTTAACAATAGTTAACAATAGTTAACAATAGTTAACAATAGTTAACAATAGTTAACAATAGTTAACAATAGTTAACAATAGTTAACAATAGTTAACAATAGTTAACAATAGTTAACAATAGTTAACAATAGTTAACAATAGTTAACAATAGTTAACAATAGTTAACAATAGTTAACAATAGTTAACAATAGTTAACAATAGTTAACAATAGTTAACAATAGTTAACAATAGTTAACAATAGTTAACAATAGTTAACAATAGTTAACAATAGTTAACAATAGTTAACAATAGTTAACAATAGTTAACAATAGTTAACAATAGTTAACAATAGTTAACAATAGTTAACAATAGTTAACAATAGTTAACAATAGTTAACAATAGTTAACAACAGTTTAAAACAGTTTACAACGGTTTAAAACAGTTTATAAAATTGCCGTTAAGCAAAACCCCAGTAACTAAGCAAAATATGGAATGGCGATATTTGCAACAAAAGAAATTTATTAATGTCAGCATTTTGACCGATAGTACCTATATAGCTCTATTCACTGAATTAAGGACAATTTTTGGATAATGCTTTTAACTAGATAAAAATAAGTTTTATCTTATTTTTAGTGTTGGCTTGTGAGTTAAAAGATTTTTGCTTAATTACGGTGTAGAATCATGATGACTTTTTATGGAAAATATCACCGGAATTTTGCTAACTTTTTAAAAAGAAAATATATTAAATATCAGAATGGTCAAATAACTTTAAATATTTGTAATTTTTCTGTTACGGGGTTTTGGCTTATGACGGCAGAACAGTTTACAACAGTCTACAAGAGTTTACAACAGTTTACAGCAGTTTACAACAGTTTATAAGAGTACTAAACAGTTTACAAGAGTTTATAACAGTTAACAATAGTATATAACAGTTTACAAGCGTTTATAACAGTTAAGAACAATTAATAAGTTTACAATAGTTTACAACAGATTACAACAATTTACAACAGTTTGCAAAAGTATACAACAGTTTACAACAGTTTATAACAGTTTACAATGGTTTATAACAGTTTACAACAGTTTAATTCTGTAGAAGAATTCCTGCAGATTTCCTAATCATTTTATTTTAATTTTAGATTTATATATAAATACTTTCTATTCTTATTATAGTAATTTTAGATATATGTTGTAAATGGAAGTGCTATATATTGTATTGTTCTATTTCCTTTTTTTGACAAGTCTCATAAATGTACATTTTGTTGTGTATTCAAACATATGTATCTGTACATTTGATAGATGAATAAAGGATTTATTTATTTACATCAGTTAACAACAGTTAACAACAGTTTACAACCGTTTGCAACCGTTTACAACAGTTTTTAGCAGTTTACAAACTAGCACGATTTGTAACAATGCAGGAAGTTTGAGATGTATACCCTGAATTATTTTGAAGTACGACTTTGACAGGATTATTTTTTTAATGAATCAGACAAATAATTTATTAATTTAGGTACATATTTATGCAATAAAAGTTACAATTATTATAAATTACTTTTGTTTTATTTGTGGGATTTTCTGCTCATTTGGTTTTTAACATTTTCGTGATGCTCTTTTTCTAACTGTAAATACAGTTTTATAGAATTACTGCTATTATGCCCAGATATTTTAATTAGTTCCTGCTCAGATAAACCTGTTTTTTCCAATTGTGGAACGGAAGATAAAAAAGATCACAAAATTTTTTGTTTGCTAATTCTGCAGACTTTTTGGTCCATTTACCAATTTCATGCACTCCAATTGGCATATTTTTTCCAGTGTGGATTTACTGTTAGAAAACACCTGTCTGTTTTTTCTTTGTGTTGTTCTTTCTTTTTAACATTAATGTATCCAGGAGTCTTACTGGGCATCATAGATAAAGAATAAATACTGGGCATCTACTTACTTTTTAAGGGGCGGTGTTCTGAAGATATTTGAAAAAAATTGACCTAAAGAGCTCTAGCTTCGAAACCAAGGCTCCAAGAGCACATGTTTATATGAACTTTTCACTCTATTTTTGCATGTTCTACATGCCCTAAAAATCTATAACACGTATTCATTACACCTTGTATATTTGCCTGATATGATGTTAAACAAAATTATTTAAAATTTTATATTAAGTAAATAAAACAGTTTCCTAAAAATATATAATTTTTTGATTAATAATTACAAAAAATATCGTGAAAAAACTGTAAAAATTGTTAAAATAACGTTTTAAATATATTAAATACCATAATTTTATTGACTAAAATTTTATTTAATTTTTTTATGCTTAGTTATTAGTGTTATTACTTACTGCAATGTTTTTTCTTGCAGCAGGTGGTGTTCCAAAAACAGTTGAATCAGAACTAAAAACCCATACATTAGATATACATACATATAGGTAATAAATAATGTTTTCCTACGACCACTTAGGAAAGTGACACATATCACACTATATAGTCCTATGGAAAGTGCCCTATATCACACGCGTATGAATAAGAATTTACTTTCCACCCTTGTACGAATATGCTACTTTCCGCAACAGCTGTCACGAAATGTCAAATGCATTATTTCTATTTTGATCTTGGTAATATCCATATTAATACTAAAATCGATGATTGTTAAATTATTAAAATTATTGTAAATTAGAACCTAGATATTTATCTTTAACAATTATTATTAAAATAATTGTAAAATAACCAAGTTATGTTTGCTTTTTATTCTGGTTAAACACATAACCGATTAGATCATTCAATTGACGCAAGGCCCATTAGCTCAGTTGGTATAGTATTAAACGTTATCAACTTTGCCATTTGAGACCTGGCGAGCGACCGCGTTCAAATCCTTGCGGGGGCAGAAGTTTTTTTTGTTTTTTTAAGTTTTTTTTTTTGTTTAGGAAATATGAAAATTGAATGAATACGATTATTGTTGATTATTTTTTTAAATAAATTTTAATTATTATAATAATAACCTGGTTTTACATTTTTTTGATGAAATTATATTGTGGTCGTAGAAAAAATATTGTACATCACTTATGTGAAAAGTGATTTTTCACACTCGTGTGACAGTCGTACTCGGCTTGTGCCTCGTGCGACAATATTTCCCACTCGTGTGAAAAATGTCACTTTCCACATTCGTAATGTAATATACTATTTAGAGGTAAAAAAAATTAATATTTTGTATTTTTACCTATTGGATAAGTCATCCAAAAATAGAAAGCCCTCACACCGTCTGGGGTTTGCATCTTTCCTGATGTATTTAGCACCATTTGCACGTACCAAAACATCTTCAGGAAAAAAATGTTCTGAACACAACTCTGGGTTTTTACGAAGTGGCTGATTTTCAAGAATCCCTACTAGAGAAAACCAAACTTTTTTTTTCTCAGGATCTTGAGGAAACCTAAATAGAATATTAAAAAATATGTATAGGTGCCTAATAGGTAAATCATTTTTAAGGTATTCTCCATTTTACTTTAAATTTTCTTTGCCACTATTCAATAATTATTTATTGGTATAAGAATAATTTACTAATTTATAAAAGGAATATCACTAAAGCCTGTTTTAAGACGATATTAGGGACAGTAATTTCCATAAAGATTAAGTAAAACCACAATATTTTTACACTTTTTAATCTTCTATAAGTGTGCACTAACCTTATTAGAGCAACAAATATTATTAAAACACATTTGTAAGCTAAAAAATTAAGAATATGCATTTATTCACGACATTCTCACGTAGCCATATTGTTTTTAAGTTTTTCGATTTGACAGTCACACTAAGAGCGCCTGTGCGTGATTTTAGCGATGTTGCCAATTGCTTTTTGTTATTTGTTCTAAATAAATATATTCATGGTAATGCCGTTCTATATTATTTTTTGTTTATGAATAATATGACAACTGACATTTTTATTTCTATAAATGTGGTGTTGTCAAACATAGTAAAAGAACGTACATAACAGGAATGACAGTGGCTGTTTTTTCAATAGCTCCAGGCCAGATGATAAAACCAGAATATAAATGTGTTTATTTGAGACTTTTCATTTCAATTATTCAATTTGAGCTGTGTCCAGGCCGTTGGAGTCTATGCCGGTCGGCGTAGCCATACCTGGGTTGATGTTTTTTGGTGGCGGCGAAGCCATCTCCCTACGATAAGTCGTTGCTTCGTTTTCTTGTTGCATATTTATCGACTAGTATGTGCAATCGCAAGAAATTATGTGAAAAAGTTTACGTTTTCAATTCAATTTGAGCTGTGTCCAGGCCGTTGGAGTCTATGCCGATCGGCGTAGCCAGGTATGGGTTGATGGTTTTTGGTGGCGGCGAAGCCGCCACCCTACGATAAGTCGTGGCTTCGTTTTCTTGAGTAGTACACAATGAAACGCAGTACATAATTAAACATTTCAATTATTTCGTTCAGATTTCGCGCCACACTGATGGCAGCGCAACCTAACGTACTTCTATGCCTACTGCCTCATTCAGTGTGTTTTGGCGGCTATACCGGTATTTTAGTGAGAGTTACTAAGAAAATTATGTTTTTCGCACCTTAAAGCTTTTTTCTGGATTTTGCTGTGAAAAGGTATGATATGTTTTCATGTTAATTTTATCTTTTGGTGGTGGTATATTTGCGATGAGGAGTTTATTGGCCGCATAACCTATGAATTTCAGATTGATTCAACGAGATTTTATACTGTTTTTTGCTCTTAGTATTAGCAAGTGCCTGGTGGTACACAATGAAACAGAAACAAGTGGTACACAATGATACATGTATCATTGTGTACCACATCGTGCTACATCAAAAAAATGTTTTAAAACATTGTTCAGTAAAAGTGAAAATATTTTTTGCGGCGTGCAGACAAAGGTCGGAAAAATTTAGCCCTGACTGGAGTCATATATTCAGACACTAACATACTGACATTTACTAGTCCTAGCATCAAATTTTTTTATTAAACTATTTAAGTATTATGTTGAACTATTGCGATGTTATCTTAACATCTAATCTTTGGTTTGCACGCATATGTGTTGTAGTAACAAAATTTGTTTTTTTAATTATTTAGATTCACTATGGTCAGAAAGAAGCAAGAGAGAACAAGGGCAACTTTTACTCCAGAAAGCATGGCAGCTGCCGTGGCAGAAGTTCGTGACAAAGACACATCATTAATACAAGCTACAGAGATATATAACGTCAAATTTACCACCCTCAGAAGATATGTTTTAAAGCAACGAGAAGACCCAAATGCAAGAATGGAGCCAAACTACTCCGTGAGAGCTGTTTTCACAAAGGATCAAGAAGAGTAATTATGCAAATATATAAAAAAATGCAGTTAAATGGCATATGGACCGAACACAACAAAAGTAAGAAAACTTTCGTACGAGATGGCACACAGAAATAAAATAAATTGCCCTGAAAGCTGGAAAACTAACAAACGGGCTAGTGCAGATTGGCTGCGAGCATTTATAAAAAGAGCTACATGTTTAAGTATTAGAAAGCCTGAAGCGTGCTCATTATCTCGCCTGACATCTTTCAACAGACATAATGTCGGTATTTCTTTTTTTTTCTAATCTGGAGGCAGTTTATAAAAAATATCCCGCAGCTGTGGAAGATATTAGAATTTATAACTTGGACGAAACGAGCATTACAACAGTCCAACAACCACAAAAAGTATTAGCTCAAAAGGGAGTAAAGCAGCTTAATCAGTGCTCAAGTGCTGAGAGGAGAACATCAGGAACGATAGTTGCTATTATTTGTGCTGATGGAACCTTTCTACCGCCTGTTATTCTGTTTCCACGTAAGAATTTTAAGCAAATAATGTTAAATGGAGCCCCTCCAAATACATTTGGACTTGCAAATCCACCTGGCTGGATGACAGCAGAGCTTTTTCAAGAAGTACTTATGCATTTTATCAAGGACTCGAATGCTAGCTTGACCATGCATTTTAGTTTACCTACGATAATCACGAGTCTCACGTTTCGTTAGAAATTGCGGAATCTGCAAAGTTAAATGGTGTAATAATCCTTGTAATCCTTATAACAGATAATCATAGTACATTGGATAATAGTAATATTAACGCCGATCCTCCAGATGACGATAGTGCTCTCGATAACATTAAGTACATCCTTCAGATGTAACTGGAACACGTGCAGGTCCTTCTAGTGTATAAAACTTCTTCAAAGACATCTAGCTTTCAAGAAAGTAATACCCATTTAGAACAGAGTGTTGACAGTTCTATGGGAAACACGCCACTTAATCAGTCCGATGATATCTCTTCCACAAAGGCATCATGTCCATTTATTTCACCAATGGAGTTTGCTGGCCTGCCGAAAGCGCAGCCCAGGAAAAACATTCGAAAGGGTAGAAAATCCAAAGCTAGCATGTTCAAGTTACCATTTTTAAAATAGTGTTGTTCCTAAAGTGGCGCTGGGAAACAGTAACAAAGCCTACACAGAACACGAGGCTAATGGCCGTAGTAGTCGACGCCGATGACACCAAAATAAAAAAAAAAAATTTGTCTCCTGACGATAGGCAACCATCATTACCCCCAGTGCTGGCACAGTTCCCTATCCTCTTAACCACCGCCCTTGGCGGTTTTTCTGGACTCAGCGCGAGTACCTTTTTCCCACTCACACACAGTTGAGCATTTTTCGACAGGGTGGTCGCTTCTATTGTGGTCGCTTCTCAACGCACAGTCAATGAAGGTTGCCTCTCATACATGTTTGCCATTAAAAAGTAAAATCAATGTGTATAGGTTTATGTATGTGCTAATTTATTGTTGAAGATAAGTAAAGTGTTTTATCGTAGAACAGTGTTTCTTTACCAATAAATCTCCTTCCTAAGAAGAAGTACAGGAAATACGAGCAGTTCCCTATATGAAAGTTTTAGGGCCCCTTTAAAGTGTAGTGCTACTACATAGCATAATTCTTACAAGCACTCCTGAACTTAAAGGCCTATCATATAAAACTGAAAGCAAGAAAACTCCTAAAGTAAAAATCTCCAAAGTTGTTAAAAATAATATTTCTGAGTTAAGTGATATAAAACATAAAGTTAAAAAAAGAAAACAAAAAAGAAGGAACATATGTCAGATACAGATTCAGATTCTGTGGAAATGGAATTACAGGATTCGTCCGATGATGAGAGATATCTGTCTGAACTACAATATTTTGACCCGGAGAAAGAACAAAATGACGATGCGATATTGAATAATTATATTGATCCCAGAAAACTAAAAAAAACTCCGAACGTTCTGACGAATTAAAAGTGTTATACCTCAGGAAAAGTGCCAAGATATTAGGTAGTTTTCATTTTCCTAATGTCCCCGTAATATCCATGGCACTAAAGTCCGATATTGTTATGGTTTTGCCTGAACCAATTTGCACAGCAAATAAAAGGCTTTCTGCTTATTATAAATTTGGCATAAACTTTGAAAATATGATTGTACGCTAGCTAGGCTGTTTGGTTATAGTTTGTGCAATATATGTTTTTAAAATATTATAACCATTTTTTGAAATTCATATTTGATTTTGTTCTCAAACATGATCATTTTTCTGGAGAAATATATGTCACGTTACTTTATTTACTGTTGTTTGATTAGAAATAAATATTACTTTTTCAAAATTTTAGCGTTTTATTAGACACAACAGGCAGTTGCATTATGTACCATAGTCAGTTTCATTGTTAACTACAGTCAGTTTCATTCTGTACCATATAAGGTACACAATGAATCAAATGCCGAGACAACAAAAAACACTGAAATTACTCTTTCTAATAAAACTGAAGCATTTATCTATTTTATCCGACTTTGCTAAACCTTAAGTTTTAGTTTAAAACATTTACGATCGGTAAGGGCTTAATCAGTCTTGCAAAAAAAAATTGAACCCAAAAACTGATCCATTGTGTACTACTCTCCCCTATTTATGGACCGGTATGCGCAATCACAATTTTCCATTAACTACTAATTTCATCACAATCCGGCAACGTTGCAATTATATTTTCCAAATTTGACAGAAACCATCGAGTTTCGATGTTTACAGTCGTCAAAATGCTGATTTTTATAGAAATTAAATAAATTTTTTGGCTTAAATAATGAATATGCACTACCTATTTAAAATAAGCTCTTTCTGATAAAAATTAAATTTCTTTAAAATTCCACTGTCCCTAAAGTCGTCCGGACCCCTGTTTTAAACTACACAATTACAAGATTTTGATACAATTTCTTGTATAATTTAAATTGTATAGTATCAAACCTACAGTAAATTGTCTGAAAAATTAGATTGGATAATCATTTTTCAAACAATTTACCATGTGATAATAGGTATACAATTTAAATTCTATAAGAAATTGTATCAAATCTCGTACAAGAAATTGTATAGTCAAAACAGTCTTAAGACGGGTGCTCCACTCCACTGGTTTAAATGAAAACAACATATCTTAACCTAAAAATACTTACCGATGAAAGGATAAATTTCGATTTACATGACCTACTTTATTGCACACTACACATATATGTACCATAATTCTTTATATTTTTCACAAAAATTCACAAAAATAGTTTTTATAAATGAATAACTCAATAAGTCACACAGAAACTGTCAGAAACACAAAATAGCTGTTAGACCCGAGTAGCAACGTTGCGGCTGGTTACGGTAACGTCGGTAACTACATTTCATTCCCAAAAATAGGTATATATTCAGCGTTGCCGTATTTACGGAGTTCTTTGCAACCCTTATATTTTGTTCAGATTAATATTGATTTTTAATAAACAATTTAGCTTATATTAAAACTTTAAAGAATAATTTAATCAAAATCATATTTTTATTTATATAATATAAAATTATAGTTATAGGATAGGTACATCAAATTTTATTTTTTGAAAGTAATTTCTCCAAATAATTTTTACAGACTAATAAAACCGGCAAAGACACAATAAACGAGAATCTGATGGGTATAATGATTTGCCACATAAAAATGTAAACAATTTGGTCTCTTTAGTTGTAATGTCTTAAAAACCAAATAGGAATGCAACACGATATACACATATCAGTATAGTGGGTTGCCTAATTCTGTTTTTACTGTTTTTCTGTATTACAAAGACGGAGAAACGTGTTTACATTGTATTAATAAGTGAAAGATAGTAAAGCAATAATAATACTTTTAAAAATTGAGCTAAAATTCTATAAATTAGGTACGAATACAAAATTGGTAGATAATCATCACTGGCTGCTTGTACCAGGAGTTGATACTCGCAGAGATTGCCATATCCGCCATTTTTGATCCAAATCGTGCAAATAAAACGAAAATTAACACTCAATTGCGTGTATTGTTTAAAATAGTTAAGGTATTTTTTCCGATTATTTTAGGTAGCAATTACCTCTTTGCTCAATTAATTTGTAAATAAAATTAGCCTATCAGTTGAGTTGACTGTTTTTTCCGCTCTATAGCAGTTTTAAAATTAAAAACTACCTCCTTACTCTAATTAAATATAAAGAGAAAATAGTTAGGTACTCTACCTGAAGTTCTTCTTTTTCCTGCGCTCTTTGTTGCTTGTATTTGTCATTCAAAAACCCCATTAAATTATATCCGAACCATTTTGATAGGAATTGGCCGGCCTCTCCAGTCTTCTTATGTTTCCTGTGTTTCCTTCTTTCGCGTCTGTGCTGCGAAAGAAGATTTTTGATTTTTCTATCAATTTCTGGAGGGCTCACTCCGAAAATGCCAGCTAATTTCATGAAGGAAACCTGTTTTACCATTTTATTTTTGTGTTCCCTACATTTGGGATCCCATAGATTTCTTTCCATTCTATAATATTCTATTAACTTAGACGTCTCTAATATTGTCCAATTTTTCTTGGACATAATTAAATAAATGCTTATTTGTAAGAATCAGATTATTTTAATCAATACACATGTCTTAAAGCCTACGCTCCTCGTTACACAACTACTAATTCTTCACTGACAAAAGACAAACTGGGTAAACATTTTAGTCCGCACGAACAGCCTGTCCCCACCAACACCCTGTCCCTAGTTCTTGTGTCCTCCTACAAAGACGCGGTCTGTGCGAACAGAAAACACTTTAATTTTCTTGACAGTAGATGGCGCTGCGGTTTTTTTAAACAAAAATTGTCTGTGACGCTATTACCGAAAAAAGCTATCAATTCCTAGTTTTTTCTTACATTTTTTTCTCCACGGTTTTCATGACAACTTGTTCGTTCATTATTCGTTCTATGATGTGCCGACATAACAATTACAAAGATTTTGTGAAACAATATAGCTTTGCCATCTATGAGTAATAATAAGAACTACCAATAAAGAAGAACCCTATTCTATAAATTCTGGTCGTTCGGTGATATGCACATAGATGTAGATACAGTATAGTTTTTAGACAGTGACTCAATGATACTGTTAGTTTTTAGATAAAATCATTGTATAAAAAATAGACCAGGAAATCGTATAAAGTTTTTTTTTTTTGATAAATAGAATAAATATTGGCACGGAAACAAATTATTGATCAAACATACGAAGTGAATCAATACATGGTAAAACTGAAATCAAATTTATATTACAAGTTAATGCAAAAACCATTTATGTAACTATAGGTGCATATAGTACCATGTCAGATTGTGGCCATTTTAAAAATTTAAATGTCGAAATAAATATTCTGTAAGTGTTATATGTACCTATGTGAACATTAAAATGATAGTTTTTCATTTTAGCAATGCTCAAGAGGTCTTGGAAGAGAAAGCAAGAAAAGAATGGCCCCAGAAATGGGGATTTCTACTTGATTTTCCAAAAGTAAGTGTATACAATAGATAACACAATAAAAGTAGGGATAACATTTGTCACGTATTGTTAGATTCTTTTAGAAGAAGCAGCCAAAAGGGGCATATCTGAAGAAAAATATCGACAAACCATGAATAGGAAGAAAATAAAATGTATACCGTACGAAAAAACAATAACAACCTGTATTGAACCTACAGATTATATTCCAAAAACCTCATCAGGTATGGTGCAGATTGGATAAATCTATATTCATCTTATCGAGTAACAAAAGTAAACAAAACAAACTATACTTTAATAACTTTATTGTAAACTTGTTTAATGTTCCTAGGGCGTACCTCAAGGATCTAATTTATTCTCGTTATAGTTTAAATTGGCGCGTGAAAATTTGTTTTCAAATTTGTTGACAATAATTGAAAGTATCAGCTAATAACGACAAAAATTATACTTAGGTTTATGTCGCTTAACGTACATTAAAAACTTAACTCATGCAGACGAAGATATGGGTTGAGCATGCATCAATGCATTTCTCATGTATACCGATGCTGTATAGAGGTATTTGAAGATTTAAGAACGAGTCTTAAACAGCGTCTGGCCCTTACTAGTACATCAAATTGCTGTATAGAAATCTCGACAGTCAATGTCGTCATTATCTAGCATTAAGGGCATTTGTGTACAGTACAAAGATGTCTGTGTTCGAATCCCGGGGAGGACAAGCTTTTTCAAATTTCCAAGTATTTATTTTTACCTTTGGGATTCAGGGATGGTTTTAATAATTCGTAGCGGGATTTTTGAGATTTGTTTCCAAATTTTAAAAATTATTCTAGATAATTTTAGATAATAGTGCCCTTTCGGTTTCAATTTGCGATCTACGGTATATTAAATTCAATTTTTCATATTTGGAATAATTTTAATTAAGTAGCCTTTACTGATGACTTAAGTATGTTAAGAAATACCATACCTATGTCATATTTTAGGTTATGTGGGATGGAGATGCGAATCTAAATACACGTTAGAGAAGTTAGGACCACTTTATGTCAGTCCTAAGCATACTTTGCCCTACCAGCCACCTTACAATTGCATCATGTTAGGATAAAACTGTTATCTGTAGATATACTGAAATTTTTAAATTATTTTAGAAAAAATGTTATAAATAACTGTTATATGATATTTTAGAGATTGTTTTAAGTTAAATGTGTTTAAAATAAAACTTCAAGACATTAATTTTAATATTTTTATTAAAAAACCTACAAAAATGTTGTATTTATGCCTATACCTAGTCGTTTTTTATAAATATGAAAAATCAGATCGTACCAAGGTGGTTATGGGGATAAAGTACTTATAATGGTTACAACTAGCTTACAACATATATGCTGGTTAATACTTACTGTTTGACGTACCAAATGATTTAGGAATTTCCATTTTTATACTATAATTCAGTTACTAATAGAGGTAATTATGCTTTACATCCTTATTAGTGGAAATGAAGATAACCATGTAGTATACCTACGTTACGCCGCTGATTCACATGTTCAAATCGTCACAAGTTTATCCTATTCTTTATCGTTGCCTGCCTAAATTACTCATTACCAATTTTTGTGTTGCGTTATTCACATTGTTCAGACCCACTACATTCCAGAGATTATAAAAACATTGGTAAAAACTATCGAAAACGCAAAAACGTCTTAAAATTGCGATAAATTAAAAAATAATGAAGAAATTGGGAGTACAGGGTACAAGTATGAAAATAATGTTTATTTAACTGATTTTTAGCTTGCAGAAAATACTACTTTATGTGTAAATTCATGCATTTAGACGACATATAAATATACACTTAATGTGTAAATTTGGCATTATAGACAAAGAAATGTACCAACGAGGCTACTTTATGTGTTATGTGTTAACGCTGATTTTATACTAGCACAGGTTTGAGAATAATGTTTGCTTTATAATTTAATTGATTTTTAGCTTGCAGAAGATACTGCTTTATGTAAATTTTCGCATTTAGACGACATACAAATAATATACATACATATTATTCATATAAGACGTCCGCAAAGCGAAAAATGCTACTTTATGTGCAAATTTCGCACAACTTTGGTGGCGGAAGATACTACTTCATGTGTAAATTCTGCAAAAATAATAAATACAAGTACAGGGAAGGCTACTTTATATGTTAACTCTGATCTAATACTTACATTATGCAAGCTCAACTAACTGCAACGCGAAAAATGCTACTTAATGTGTAAATTTTGTAAAACTTTGGTCGAGAAAATACTATTTTATGTGTTAATTCTATATTGCAGCCAAATAAATGTATAGACAAGGCTACTTTATGTGTTAACTCTGATCTTATACTTATAAACTGCACACTTGGCTAACTGCAACGCGAAACATGCTACTTAATGTGTAAATTTCGCAAAACGTGATCAAGGAATATACAGGGTGTTTCGGGAGGAAGTGGCAATATTTTAAAGACATGTCAAGGAAGCCAAAATAAGCAAAATAAGCTGATATGTTTAAGTCCGATTTTCATTTGTTTCAGGAATAATTGACTTTTTCTTAAAATGTCAAATCCCATAAATTTTTTGCCTACGTACGTTGATGTATTGAGCTTATGCACGTAATTCTGAGAGCGAAATCCAGAAAGGAAACTTTTAAAAGAATTAGTGTTCTTTTAATAACTTTAAATTTGGCGGCTAATAAATTCTCACCAATAACGTTCTCACTATCGCCAATTAGGCATTCCAACGACCTGTCCAAATGGCTACCAGTGGGTAATGACAGTTTAGATATGGCAACCCTGTTGTCATGTTGTCATTAACAGGGTCAATGATGCATATATAGTTATATAGATTGCTCAAAGCTGGTCGTTTACGAGCGGCCATATTGCCTGGAAAATATTTATTAATTTGAATCGGTTTAGCAAAAATGTGTTTTAAAACCAATTTTTAGCCTTTAGATATTTAAACAAAAATAATTGCTTACATTTTTACTTCAAGGCATACGCTTATGTTTATTTTGAAAAATATGGTCACCAGGTCTACAGGGTTGCCATAATTTTGCAATATCATAACCCGTCAAAGCCCACTGGTAGGCATTCAGTTTGGAATGCCTAATATTATTTGCAAAATTCCCTAACAGGGTATTTATTTTTAAGAGTTGGCTTTGTGGATTACGCGACCAGAACTTATGTGTAATAAGGTCAAAGTAGGCAACTGAAATGAAAACTGACAGTTACTTGTTAAAGTGACAGTTGTTCAACATTAGTTTTATGAAGTTGTAAAAATGCCCCACAAATTTAGTCATAAAGAATATGCCGATATGATATTTGTTTATAGGTTCTGTAATGGTAGTAATGTTCGTGCAGTGGAGGAGTATCGACGTCGTTTTCCGAATCGAAGGGTTCCTAACAAGCGAGTATTTCAAACTGTTTTTACACATACCGGCGAAACTGGGACATTTCCAAGTGCAAGTATTGTTTCTGAAAGAGAACACGGAATCGCTGTTGGACTTGAAGAAGATATTCTGGATGTGGTAGACGAAAATCCAGAGATAAGTACAAGGCGCATCGCAATCCAATTTGAAATACCACTAACAATGGCTTGGAAAACACTTAAGCAACAAGGTTTGAACGCTTATCATTTGCAAAAAGTACAAAATCTCCACGAAGGCGATTATCCTTTAAGGCTACAATTTTGTCATTGGATTCGGGAAAACAGAAGATTGCGTAAAGACATTTTGTGGTCGGATGAAGCTCAATTTACGCGAGATGGAATTAACAATTGCCACAATAATCATCGATGGTCGGACGAAAATCCCCACGCTTTGGTGAGGTATTCTAAATGATCAATTATTCGGTCCTTTCGTATTAGATGCGCGCCTTACTGGGCAATGATATTGGACGAAGCATCTTTAAATATTCGACAACGAATTATCTTCCAACATGATGAAGCGCCTCCTCACTATTCAAATAATGTACGAAATTTTCTGAATACCACTTTCGGCGATCGTTGGATTGGCAGAGGCGGTCCACATCCTTGGCCACCGAGATCACCGGATCTCACTCCCCTCGATTTTTGCCTTTGGAGATGGATGAAGTCGTTAGTATATGCTACTAAAGTGGAAACGAGGGAAGCGTTACTAGATCGCATTCTTAATGCAGCAGCTATCATTAGAGCGATCAATCGTTCATTGAAACTCACTACTAGTGCAGTTTATAAACGCGCAAATAAGTGTATCGAAGTGGGCGGTGGTGTTTTCGAAAATTTGTTATAAATTAATGTTATTTGTTTATTTTTGTAATGTATTTTGTAATAAATTTTTGTTTGCTTTTTAAATTACAATTAATCAAAATATCTCCGAAACAAATGAATATCGGACTTGAACATATGAGCTTATTTTGCTTATTTTGGCTTCCTCTTTAAAATATTGCCACTTCATCCCGAAATACCCTGTACTATTTTGTGTAAATTTTGCATATTATTGTAAATAAATTTACAGAGAAGGCTACTTTATGACATGGTTATGTTGATATAAATTAGCGGGAGATAAAGTATTTGATTTTTACAGAAAGAAAAAGTGTTTGTTTACTTTCGGCTTTAGTGACTGTTGGCGATAAAAAAAAATTAAAAAAGACTAAATAACTACGTTGCGTCACGTTTGACGTTATAATAGAAAACTATTCAGACTTACGACATACATAAATAATTGCAATATGCAATTTTCTTCTTATTCTTATTAATAAGACTATTAATTATTTTTTAATCTAAAATATATTTAATTTCTTCTTTTCGACTTCTAATTTTAGTAAATCGATATTCTTAAAAACATCGTTGACGATTTCATCACAATCTTCTTTCGAAGCGACCGAAGCCACGTCAGCTATGAATCCTAAATGGATTCTGCTGTCGTAACTGATTAGAGAAAATCCAGTAGCTAAAAAAACATACATTACAAAACTTTGAATTTTCTCATTCTTTTGGTTACTTACTCATTTGGTCTCTCTGAATAGTGAAGAAATAGGCATCTTCTACTTCGTAACCATTAAACAGAACAATTTTAGGAAATTCTGGTAGATTACTGATGCAACCCCATATATTTTTTAAAGGAAAGAGAACTTTTATTACGGGTACAGGTATTAATTGGAGTAAGTTGAAACTGATGTAATTACGAATCTAAAAATAAAAATTTATGAATTATTTTTTAAGGACGAACATGTTTAAGGAAAAAGGATAATATTAATAGGATTTTAATATCAATTAATACTTTTTCGAGTGAGTAAAATTAAAACTGAAATATATATCGCAAAAGAAATATTCTACAGATATCAACCAGGAGTTCTTTTTTGTGACAAATTATGTAAGGAATAAATATGAACTTTAACTTTTTTCAAATACAGATTGTTAAAAAAGTTTGGATGCAAATTAATCTCTCAGCCCCTGATTCTACGCTAATGGGTTGAGGTATGTTACCAGCAAACATTTTCGATATTATTAGGTATAACTCGACTTGTTAAAAGTCAAATCTACTTATTGAGGTAATTATTACGTAAAATTGACTAGAAAAATATACCTGTACTTTAAATTTACCAAATGGTTCTAATTTATGTATAAATTTACGTAAATTATACAAAGAAATCTACCTCGCCAGAGACAACAGAGACGTGTAACTTAATAGGAAAATATGTTCGGTGGTCCATTTAAATTACATATATGACCCTCTTTTTCTTTTACATTGATCTTTACATATGTCTATCTCTCTCCAATAAAACTAACACCATTTTCAGAGGGCGCTGGTGTTGCTGGTTTTTTGACGTAGAAATATCGATTAAAAATATTAAAACTGACAACTGACAATGTTATGAATGTTGTTATGAACATGTGCATTTTATTAAAATTAATTTAATTTGGGCCCCGTATATTTCTTTTAGTCTGATTTTGTTTTTTAATTAATTTTCTTTGGGGGGGGGAATGTTTATTTTTGCATATTATTTTTTGCATGAAGCAATTTCTGGAACCAAACTCGCGTTTTTGTACACATTTCTTTCTAGAGGTGAGTAATCTCCAATTTATTAAGAAAACCACTGTATAATGTGTGTGTTTAATAATATATTACACAATGACTATAATTATTTTAGGTGAATTGGAACAGAGATCCATTGTTACAGCTACTTGTGTTCATTAAGTAGGTAGATGAATGTCTGGACAGCTTTAATGGCAGCACGAAGTCCCTATCTACTAGAAAAGTAAAATGTATGCTGAGTAAAAAATCTGCACATGTAGTATTGGCAAAGGACTTTTGAAATGATTAGAGATTAGCTATTTCTTACAGTCATTCTAAAGGAAGAAAAAAAATTGAATCACAAAAGGGCAGAATTTTAAATCAGGATGCATTGGAAAATAAATTTGGGGACATCAGGTCGGTTTTGGATTTTATAGAGATATCAATCTCAAGAAAAGTTAATTTATCCTGCAGAACAACCAGTAGTTTAAGTAGGATTTGCTATAACTTTATTAGAACTTTTCTTTGATAATAAATTGTAATATAGGTACCAATTGTTTCAAATGAAATTGAAAAAGAGTTAAATATGAAATTAGATTTTTCATGAGTAAAATGTTATATTCATTCGAACATTGTAAGGTAATCTATAATTAAGGGAATATGGAAAATAGGTATACCCTGGTGCTGTAAGAGAAAGGTAAGGGGCAACGACAAAAAAATTACAAAAATATATTTATCTTTAAATAGTGTTTATTATTAATATTATTTGCTATGTTTGAAAAGTACCTCCTGCTTCCGAACAGATTGAATAGATTAGACTACTAGTTGGAGAAGGTCCACCTAGTAACCAAATTAGGAGACTAGGAAAACTTTTACATGACTGGGGACACAACAGGAATGCACACACACAAGATACACAAACAAACGAAATAACAGGGGTAAGCCTTCAGCAACGTCCTGTTTAAATGATGATAGTATGTCATCCTTCATTCCCTTTTAGAAGGCATGGCATATAAATATATTGATCTTGATTACTATAAGAGGAGTTAGCAGGGGTCTAGCAGGTTTCGATCCAGTTTACAGGATGGGAACTTACTTGACTCGGGCCTTATACATTTGTGTTGAGTGTATGTGTGTTCGTTTCCATGGTTTCTATTAAAATAAACAGTCATAACATATCCATACCTTTTTGCCAGACTAACATAAGTGACATTTGTTCTTTATAAAATATTTGTTACATTAGTTTTTAAATATATTATGAATATATAACAACTGTTACTTTCTTTGTAATTTGTCACAAAATGATAGGAGGTACTTTCTAAACGAAGCAATTGTAGTCTGTTTTTCTGTACCTTACAAAAATATAATTTATAGAAAAAGAGTTTGGTGTATTATTTTTCCAAGTTTAAATATTTAATAATCAATAGAATTTTCAAGTTTTTTTTAGCGAAATTTACAAGAGTAATAAAAACTATGTTCACTGTTTATATTAAACTGATTAAAACTTCCTTTATTAAAATGATTATTTATGTGATAAAAAATTTGATGTTATTGGAAGCTTTTATATTTTTTTAATATACAGTGAAACAATAGTTTTTGTTTCTCCTGTAAATTTGTATAGAAAAACTTTATTTCTTAATCCATGTTCGAATTTCCCGCCCTAAAGCATTTTTAATTTTCCCGCTATTTACTAGTGGCGCCATCATAGACTGGTTGTGGTTACAATCGCCCAAATTACTTTTACCGAACAAAAAAAATACATTGAGTTACACGTCTCGCTGGATTGTCTCTGACCTCGTACACATATCTCCTTAAAAGTAACTTTAACCAAATCGGAAAGGGGAAAACTACTAACAAAAATAACCAAAAATTACCTCAAAGGTAATATCTACCTGTTTGGCAACTAAAAATCGTCTTTATAGTAGAATATCCTACTAGGTAGATTTGGTTGAACATTTTTCGTAACTTTATACCTATATAGTAACCTATTTGAATGCTTTATTTTGCTCTACTTTAAAGTAATATTAGGTGGATATTGTAGAAAAATTATACCTTGTTTTTCTACTTAATTTCAACCAAATAGTCGATTACTCATTTAGTTGAACTAAAAGTCATCATAAATAAATAAATGTTAACTTTATTGGAGCAATTACCTGAAAAATCTACTACAAAGTAATTTCGACTATAAACCATCAATTTAAAACCTGCCATACATAACCTATTTGTAAGAATTATACTATTTAGGTTATTTTAACAATTATGTTGTTCACTTATTGTCTTCGTCATTATTCTTAAGAATTTCGGCCATTTTAAAAAACCGTTACAATGGTAAACTTACGAGGTAGGCGCCAATAATTCCCGGCCTGACAATGAAGGAGGCAAAGTACAACAACAAGTTTTTATTATTTTTCAATGTAATCTCCCTTAACCTCAATGCACTTCTTAGAACGTTTAATTAACAATTCAATCCCTTTAAAAAAATATTATTTCGGTTTATCCTCAAAATGGGCCAAAACAGCTTCTTGTAACTCAAAATCGTCCCGAAAACGTCGACCGCGAAGGTCCTTTTTCAAATAACTAAACAAATAATAATCGCTGGGAGCCATATCTGGACTATAAGGAGGGTGATCTATATTTTGAAACCGCAATCTAGGATGGCAGCTTGTGTAACGCCAGCAGTATGAACGGGCGCATTGTCGTGCAACAACCGCACGCCTCTGGTCAATTTTGCTCGATATTTTTCTCGAATACATTCCCGCAACTTATGAAGTAATGCGGCATAATATGTGCCATTAACGGTGGTATTTGTCTCTTTAAAATCAATCAGAAGGATTCCTTCACAATCCCAAAAGATCGTAGCCATCACCTTTTTCGTTGATAGGCAGACTCTAAATTTTCGTGGGGGGCTTCACTCTTACGGCGCCACCCCATTGATTCTTTTTTCGACAGAGGATCATAATAAAGAACCATAGTTTCATCTCCAGTGACTATTGTTTCCAACACGGGGTTCGGATCATCTCCACAAAGTTCCAAAAACGATCGAGCACACTCGACACGACGTTGCTTCTGAATCGCCGAAAGGTGTTTGGGCACCCATCTTGCACTAACCTTATACATACCCAAATGATCATGGAGGATTCGGCGAACAGTGGTATCAGAAAGCTTCGTCATTTCTGACATTTCCTTGACCTTCAAACGTCGGTCACTTAGGACCAGGTTTTCCACAAGGGCCACTTTGTCCTCCGTTATCACCTTCACTGGCCGTCCAGGTCTTTCGTCATCTTCAAGGGATTCCTGACCCATGCGAAAACGTTTTGCCCATTCCTTCACTACCAAATAGGAAGGCGAACTTTGGCCATATACGCCATCGAGTCTTTCTTTAATAATTTTAGGTGTAAGCCCTTCTTTTGTTAAAAATTTAATAACCGCTCTGTACTCAATTTTCGTCACCTGAGACATTTTCGGAGATACTTTAGTTCAAAATGCTGACAATTAAAAACTATTTGACGTAAGTCGCTTATTTTGTTACCACAGCCTACTAAGATTTGTAGTTATAAAATGTTAAACTTTTATCCTGATAAAATATCTGCAACTATGTCAGGCCCGGAATTATTGGCGCTTACCTCGTAATTCTCTTGTCGTATAGATATAAATAAATGCAAAAAGTAATAAATAATAGTTTCGATTTTTTTCGTAAAGTCAAACGTTTTAAATCTCAAGTGCAGTATATAATGTGAAAAATAAACAAATTACTCCAGTATCCAGTAAATTGATTTGTCAACACACGTTAAATAAAAATTTACACTTAATATAGCTGAAATTTACTAATAGGTAGCATTTCCAAAAATAGGGTGACCTAAATATGTTACATTTACCTACAGGTAAATTTTTGATAAAACTTACAAGTTATTAATTCTTTAAATAGGTAAAGTAACTAACATGTCGTTATCTTTAAGGTAATTTAACTTAGTCAAAAGCTATTTGTAAAATACGTAGATTTCCATAGTCGTATTAACTTTTAAGTCGAATTAGCACAATACGCCATGTTTTCTTAACATAATTGAAGTACGATTCCAAATTTAAAATTTTAAATTAATTTAACTAGAAAAAAACGGTTGAAAATTACAAAAAAAAAACATTATTGATTTTCTAAAGTGATACACAACAAATGTAACATAGTTTTAGTTAATATTATTATTATAATTTTTTCATAATATATTTCTTTTTATATTTTTTCTTATTAAAGAGTATTTTGGAAGGGCATTGTTATTTTTCAAAGTAGAACTGTTAACATTATTATTCCGAAATACTCAGATATTGCAAGCCTTACGAAAACTATCTTTAAATCCGTACTCAGTAATTTGGGAGATAATTTAACTACTATTTATACAGATGGATCGAAAAATGGTTTAGGTACTGGCTGTGCATTTCTTGTTTCAGACACTAATTATATAGAATTATTTAAATTACCCTGCTTCTGTTCTATATTCACAGCTGAAGCAGTGGCGATTCTAAAAGCCTTAGATTGGTGCAAAGCAAATTCATTTCAGAATATAGTTATAGTGTCTGACTCCCAATCAGTTCTGCAGGCTATTGATAGCGCTTCCATAAGTCAAAACAAAAACGCGGTAATATTATCCATTAAGAAAATTATATTTGACCTTAAACAGTGTAGCGTTAAAGTTTCCTTGGTTTGGGTTAAAGGACATTGTGGCATTGCAGGAAATGAACATGTGGATAGGGCTGCTAAAGAAGCATGTAGTTTAAAACAAATTACATTATTTTGTAGTTTTATATATATTATTAGCATTTATAAAAAAGATGTAAGAAGTAGATGGGAAATTAAATACACTGAGCATGCGAAGGCATCACAAAGTCACTATTATAGTATACATCCAAATCTTCCTAAGAATATTCCTTACATCAGTTCATGGAATTATAATAAATATCAGTCATCTATAATTACTCGTTTGAAGCTCAATCACGGAAGATTCCCTGCACATTTATGTAAAATTGGAATATTGGATTCTCCCTTTTGTCCATATTGCAATATAAACGCTGTAGCAGATCAGATCAGATCAGATCAATCATTTATTTTTAGATTGTAATAAAAATGCTCAACATACCACCGTATTGTATCAAGATTTAAATAAACTTTCACTCCCACTTCCACTCAATATTTCTTCACTTTTAGTTCAATCAGATAAGATAATTTTTGACGCTATTATTAAATTTACTCAAAATACTAAAATAGATATTTAACATAATATATATAAAAATTATTAAGTTAAAACTTTCTGTGGTAAATAGACTGATGTCTGATGCCATCCCATTACAAAAAAAAACATGCACGACAAAATTTCATTCGCATTAATTTTAACAAACGTAACCTTGATTCGTAGTAATTAAATAACATATATATTTTTGTTACCGACATTTATTTATTTATTTATTTATTTTCAATCTTTGCTGTGAATTAAGTATATATTTTAGCTGTGTTGGTCACTGCCTACAATATTTCGACTTCTATAGATAAAAATACCAAATAAGTATAAAATTTATTTTTTTGTGCACTTGAAGTCATTCGTCATCTGAAAAATCTTTGTAGTTTTCTACCTAAGGCTGGTTAAATTAACGTCGAATTGACGTTATACTGACGTCAAATTTCCCTAGAGAAGTATTACTAACCAAACGTAGTAGGCTACTACAATGTGGATTTAGGCGAAATTTTACCTATTTTGGTCAATAAAACCAATTTCAACGTCGTCTTATTCTGCACTTATGTCGAATCCACGTCGAGATAACGTAAATTTTCCTTAAATATGGTTAAATCTAATTTTGCGACCAAATTTATTATACATATTTTAGGTAGTCTCGACGTCAAATTAAACCAGAATGTTTGCTGGGTTAATTACTAATACTGATCAACTATTACCAAAAAGAAATAAATAAACATAAAAATAAATCCAAGGGGTTGTGGATCACAATTAAACAAATCAATAAAATCAATAAAACGTTAGATATAGAAGAAATATTTGATGATGAATATAGTACAGTAAATAGGGCAAATATATTTAACAGCTATTTTGCAAATGTCAGCGAATTATAAAACCAACCATTCCAAATCCACGTCCTTCTTTTAATCCTTACAACTTTTTCTTAGAACCTTTAGACGAAAGAGAAATTAAAAACAATCAATTCACTCAAACCTCACAAGGCACCAGGTTCCGATAACATTAAGATTTACACCATAAAGCACATTGCTGATGAGATAAAAACCTTTAACATTTATAATTAACAAAATTTTCCACTTTAAGCAGTCAATAGTAATACCAGTTTATAAAAAAAGGAGATCGAAAAAATGTATGCAATAACAGACCAATTACTTTAATTACCTGTATAAGGGAAATTTTCGAATCATCTTTGAACGATAGACTAAATGGATTTTGTACTAAACATAATTTAATTTCTAATAAAAAATCTGGCTTTAGAAAAGGTATATCAACAATAGACGCCATAACTAATTTGACTTCAAAAATTTACAAATTAATAGATACATGTTCTCTCACAATAGGTATATTCCTGGATTTGGCCAAGGCGTTTGACACAGTGTCACACACTCAGTCGTTAGACTTAGAATTAGAGGCATACCACACCAACTAATGACAAGTTATCTTGAACATCGAACTCAAACAGTAAAAATTAGCAATCAATTTAGTGATCTAACTAACGTATCGTATGGTGTGCCTCATGGAAATATTTTGGGCCCACTTTTATTTTCACATTATGTATATAGTTTGCTAAATCTAGAAATATCTGGAGAAATTACTTGTTTTACTAACGACACAGTTATTCTGTACAGTTCTCGCACATGGCAAGAACTGAAACAGAATATTGAAGCGGATATGATAAAAATAATTGAATGGTTTAATAATAAGTTGTTAACTATCAATTTCAACAAAACTTTTCATACATACCTTTTAAATTTCACTTAACGTCTATGATCGGGAGATATAAACCTCATTGGTACTGTCTCTACTGACTTGAAGGATAAGTTGTTAAAAACCTGGTTTACACCACACATACAACTTTATAGCAACCGTGAATACTAGAATAGCTACTTATTTCAAATTTTTTATACGGTTGCTATAAAAATAATATAACTTATAAGTGTGGTGTAGATCAGGCTCTTAACAACCAACCTTCGAGTCGGAAGTGCCGGGACGTCAAGTGAAGTGTAGTTTTATCATATGGAAATGGTTAAATTTTATTGATGGACTGGTTTGAAGTTAAAAAAAAACTTAATACAGCAAAATTTATTATGCAATTTTATCTCAAGCAGATCTGCAGGCCTTCTGACGATCTGAGAGGTAACAAGGAAATATGGCCAGAAAACAAGTATTAGAAATTAAAAATTAAAAATTAAAAAAAAACCGACTTCAAAAACGTGCAGATGCCATCACCACATCTTTACCAAATTTATATGGAACCACCCCTGAGGTAGTCCCTTACTAACAAAAAAAAGAATCATATTAATCGGACAAGGTGGTAATGCATTATCGCTAAACATACATAAAAAATGAAGAACTTGAGGATTTTCTCATGGACCCAATTATTAGATTTTGACCAAATTTATATGGGACCACCCCTGAAGTACCCCTTTTTTGCCATTTTTTTTTCTATAAAAATCTCCATAATTTTTATTTTTAATTTTTTTTTTGCAATCGGAGACCGTGTTAAAGAATTATCGCTAAACATACATACATAAAAAAAAATTGCGACGAATTGATAACCTCCTCCTTTTTTGAAGTCGGTTAAAAATACATACATGATTCAATAACAACTGATCTGTAACTTAGTAACTAAGCCCTTTTAGAGTTCATTTCCCTTTATCAAAATGCATCAATTAATGAAGGCTCTCTGAGATACCGCGTTATTGGTCAAATATAGTAAAAGACTGTTTTAAAATTTACCAATAGTTCTGGACTCTTCATCAAGTTTCTGGAATTCTTCTTCAACAAATCCATTCGGTGCAGAAGCGAACTGGATCCTGTTTTAATCGGTATTTCTAAATTTACAAATCCAAATTGGTTTCTTAGTTTCGGCACACCGTTTACATTCATTGGTTTTAAATCTCTGGTGGCGATTATAGCCAAAGACACAGATTTTGGTACTCGATGATAGTGCTAAAAACAAATTAAACGAAATTAAATTAGGATTTTGTTCCTGGTATCATTTAAGTTTTTTTGAAGATATTGGTACGCGGATTTCACTGAACTTCTTAGAACCACTTTAGTTCGCAAATTTCCTTGTTTGCAAGGTCAATCATATTGCACGTCTGCGCATATAATTAGCCTAATAGTATGAGAGCCCACTGCAAATTTCGACCGTCATCTGATAACGAAATGAAATATGCTCTAAAGGCAGGTAACAACATTGTACTTTACCAAATTGCACCTGTGCCAATCCCTATGCTGAGCGAAGTGGTTAAAAAAAATTATTTTATATTCAAAAAATCACATAAAACATGACAGCGACAATTATGTTTTCCCTGAAAATTACAATCCTAATTCATAGTGAACCTAGCTTTTAAACCTGAATTATTAATATTTTTACCTACCTTTTAAACCATGTTTATGTATGAAAGGAAGAAGAATAGCATTGTATAAACCATTTGTAGAGATAGTCAATAATAATTATAAACTCTTGTTAGACAATTATTTTAAACCATAATCATAGTAGTTTTTTTGTCGTTTCTATGGCAACCTGTAAAAATGAATCACAACAATAGGCATACAAATAAATTTTTAAATCAGCAAAACATTGATTCATATTTTTAATGATATTTACCTACTAATCGTGGATAGATGTTTTTGTGCGATGTTAAGAGGAAGAAAATATTTCCCTTTAACGATATATATCAAGATATATTTGAATGTTATTTTCTGGAAAACTTTAAGAGCAAACAAAATTAGCGCTGTCATGCCTTTTGTGATTTTTTTAAAATAAAATAATTTTTTTAAGCCACTTTGCTCAGGATTGGGATAGGCACAGGTGCCATTTGGTAAAGTACAATGTTTTTCCATGCTTTTGGTGTATATTTCATTTCGTTATCAGATGATGGTAAAAATTTGCAGTGGGCTCTTGGGCTATAAAATGAGCCTAACATGATACTAAAATGAGTCTAAAATTGACCTAAAATGAGACTAAAATTATAGTATGCTCAGAATGTATAAAATCTAATGGTGCTCTGTTAGCTTGATTTCTATCACTAACTGGACTTATCCAGTGATTTTTTTTTAAATAGTTTGATCCTATAATTTTAGCCTACCAGATGATAAAAAAAGAATATTAATGGCTTCCAACCATGCTAATATATTTTTAGGCAAACTTTGGAATGGTACTGATTCTTCTAATATAACTTGCGTTATACATGATAATTAAGGGTGATTCTTGAAGCACTTTCTGCCACTCTCGAACAGCAATAAACAGTTTTCTTAAACTTAAATCCACTTTTGTGTACCAAGTATGTAATCATGAAATATTACATTGAAAATCTGATCAGTTATCACTTAATAGTTTTATGATGCTTTAAGATGTACAATACCATCGGGAGGTCACAGAAAATAGCTGATACCGGCAGGGTTATAGTAAATTCTCTTTAAAATTAACATTTAAGTCTATAGTTTGTTTGTAATTCAGTGCCCAGCGCGATATGAGCCGAAGGAATAAGTTTTCGAAATGTAATCAACTTACTTTTTGGAACTGATTGTATAGGCTAGCAGATACTGCTGTAAGTATGATCTCTGAGAAGCTGGTATCACCGATATCGTTCTTCAATTTTTTTATGGCTCTCAGTAAATGTTCGCCGCTTTTTTCTGCTCTGAAAGCAACATGATGCTTGGTAGACGTGTATGGTCCCTCGAATTTGTTTAAAGCTCCTTTGAAGAATGTTAGAATCAAATAACCTGAAACGAAAACGATAACTCTGTTCAATAGGGTCAATTAAGTTATCTAATCATTCAAATGCGAAACACATGTCTTTAAATTGATATAGAATGAAGCAACTGAAGATTAAAATAATAATCACAAACCAAATTTCATCATAGCTGATAAAAACTGAACTGTACATATTAGAAATGGAGTCAAAACAGGGAAAGAAGATACTTCTTTTTATTTATATTTTCAACTTTATTACCATAGCTGGTTACCTACCAAATTAGATGCAAGTAGTAGAAATAATTATAATTTTAAACCCAGGCAAATCATCTGAAGAACTAAAGTCGTGTAGACCAAACAAATTTCTGTCGATACTATTCAACTCTTTCTGGAAAGATTGAAACCCATACTAGTAAAAAAACGTCTTACACCAGATCATCATTGGGTTTAGTCAAGAACTGTTGAATAAATTTAGAGAATCGCAAACAATATCAAACAAACATTAGATGACGAAAATTATTTGGTCTTGGTCGATTTAGGGCAGATATTTAAGCGTTGAATTTGAAAATTTGGGAATCACCGAAGATACATATCTTAGTCAAAGTCCAAGATGCAAAAACATCTTATAAACGAAGTCGGCTGGGATATTTGAATACTAACCTGGGACAGTGAATAACAAAAACAACTCTTGCAAATGCCTGAGAGGTGGTATCTTGGTCCAAGTTGGACTTTTAGGTATATTTTTCAAGCTATCCTCGAATGTGATGTTATTTTCGCCCATAGCTTGTGCGCACAAGTTCATGACGCATAATCCATCTGCGATCGTGTGATTTATCCGTATAAACATAGGAATTTGATCCTCTCTGAGATCGTTGACTCTTTTCCAGTCCGAAGAAGCTTTTACTATGACCACTTCCCACATGAGTTTGTCCTTTTGGGGCATTGGTTTGTTACTGTAAGAGAATACCAAGTCCTGCATTGATTTGTAGTTGGCTTGTTCTGCATCTACCTCTGTTACAATATCGTCTGCTGTCATTTCTTCTCTTAGAAGGTAAGGATAACCTGTAAAAAAACTGTAAAAAAAATATTCTAAATAGACTAGACTATGTCAAAAAGGAATAATTTGCATTTGGACATTGATTGAAATGTCTTCTAAGATAAGTAGACTCATTGCAAATCATTTGCAACTGATTGTTTCAGTATTTGGAACAGGTTGAGGTTGAGTACAAAGTATGTAAAATTAAGTAAACTACTGGTTCGTTACCTAAAAATGTATTCAAAGAGCACATCAACTTCCCGAACTTCTCGGGATGCTTGAACAATCTTTCTTGGATCACATTTTTGGTGTCTTTCACGATATCAGTTTGTGCACCTTTTCCGTTCAGAAACATTACAATGTTGATAAGGTTGTGGTACTTTTCGCCTACCGCCCAATATATATCAGAATTTTCTAGTGGTTCTATTCTTCCTCTGAAGTACAGCGCTATTCCAATGGAGACGATAGTCTTAAATAACCATAAGTAGAAAAGAAGAAAGATATAAGGAATGAAAACGATTGAAGATATCAGAAGGATTTCGATCTCCATGTTGGTTTATTGAAGGTGTGTTCGGGATCTGCAAATGAAATTGTAATTACTGATCTACTAATAGAGAATGTATTTCTAAGAAGTGATCCCAAAGAATAATTTCTACGGTTTCTTTTTACATTGGAGTCATTTGAAAAGAACCTTAGTTTATACAATATGGTAAAATAGAATCTCTATCTGTATCTGTAACGTATGGAGGGTGGGTTAACCCAAGGCACTTAGACCTCAATAGACCCATTGTGCATCCTTTCAAGTAGGTAGATAGGTGCCAATTTTTGTGTTTTCGGTACCCAGGCAACGCCATCGTAATACTTACCTATTACTACCTATGTTTTTTATAAACCACAAAAATTGACAAAAATTATTTTTTATTAAATGTACCTACGTTATTTTATTAAGTAAACTAGTAATTGTTAAGAAATAAGCAAAGTCTAATGTGAGTTTTTCAATAAAAAAGTCATTTTAAGCTTCTTTTATTTGCACTCCTAGTCATGAAGAAATAATCGAAGCCCAAGACAGTTTTCCAATAAAAATGAAGCAAAACTTATTTGTTAACGACTAGCAGTGCAAATGTACCTAAGTATTAGCTTTATTTCCATATCGCTTAGTAATCTATTGAACATTGTTTACGAACAATATTTTTATATTTAATAAATTATTGGAAAAAAATCTTGTACTGTAATTCTCGTACACGCGTGTTAATTAGATATCAAAAATATTTGTATAATATACCTACTATTTAATTTGTTTTTGAATTTTAAATATAAGCTTTTTATCTTTTTTATTGCCTATTATTTCAAACTTAATTTTTCCGTTGTACACTTTCTGAGGTTTGAATTAAAAAAAATCTGATGTGTCCAACACAAATTATAATAATATTATTATTAACAATAATTTAATATTACTTGAAACCTACTTAAATAATGCATGTTTATAAGATATTTGCATAATTTAAAGAATTTTAAAGGTATGCATCAAATTTATTATTTATAATAATTGCAAACCCTGTAAAAATGATGCGACACTGGTAGTAGTGTCTACGCATTTCCCCTCTTAACCCAAAAAACGTTGCTAAATGCGGACTCTATGAAATGTACATGCACGAAGAACATATTTGACTTTGTTGATGGAACCTCTCCCATAACAAATTTCTGTCTACGTCACTGGTCTACAGGTACGGTTTTTTTACAAAGGGATAGTCGATTCTTAAGAAAGGTTATGCCAAAACCAAAGTAATAATGGACGATTTTAGTCAGTCAGATTTTGGAAATTTTATTATACCGACACTTAATTATATTGATTCAGTTACGAAACAAAACTCATCCCAAGTACACTTCCTTTTTCTATAAATCATATTTTTAAAAAGTACGTGACGTATTTACTGATCTGGGGATTTTGTTCGACGATTCAATTTGTGTTGGTTCAACCCGGTATCCATAAAAAGAAATGTATGCAAGAGCAACTGTTTGTTTACATGTCCTAGTAGCGTCTCTTGTGATGTAATATGTGTATTTTGTTATGAATTCTATTTTTGTGAAAAGTGGAACAAAGTTTTTTAATAACCGATTCAAATCTAATAGCTGAAACTCAACAAGCATAATTACTACAGATCATACCGAGTGACCGAGTAGACATTTCTTATTGAATATACATGTGATGTAGGCAGCTTCTAGTATGACGACATAAAACCCGGAAAATTTAAATAAGAGGGTGGTTTTAGCGTTAAGGGTTGATTTTAAAAAAATAATTTTTGTATGAAAAGTAGATCCCGATATTATACGCTCAACTATTATACAGGGTGGCTCACGCTCAACGGGACGGAGCTTTATGGGAAAACGACCAAAGATATAAAAAATTCGTTTGGGAGGAATACGTAGGTTACAGACGGCTACAATTTAAAATTTGTTAGATGTATACAAGATGTCCCACATAAGAAAACAAAAATTAGTTCATTATAAATTATTCAAACAAGAGTAAACAATTAATTTCTGGGAGAGTTTTTTTCCTTAAAAATTCAAATAAATCGAAAACTAATAATAATAGTAATAGGGAACCTTTAGTTAACTGACATTATTTTTGATGTAGTTTTTAATTCTAAAATAAAAAACAGGGTGTTCCATTAAAAATAATATAACTTTGTATATTTTCTCTTATGTGGGACATCCTGTATACATCTAACAAATTTTAAATTGTAGCCGTCTGTAACCTACGTATTCCTCCCAAACGAATTTTTTATATCTTTGGTGGTTTTCCCATAAAGCTCCGTCCCGTTGAGCGTGAGCCACCCTGTATAAAAAAAAATTAAAATTTTCTATTTTTGATCTATTCTTTTAATGATATATATTACAGGGGCGAAATTTGTGTAATTTTAACTTACCAATTATGTTTTAAAGGGCATAGGAGCACTCACACAGACACCAAACTGCAGTATGATTTTTGATTATCGAAAATCGATTTATTATTAACCAGGAAGCGAAACCTAATCTTATCCCGGTTTTCCTGTTTCTAATCGTCGACTACCATCACAAGTTAATTAGGTAACATTTTTAATAAAAAATCTTATAGGATTATTTAAACAAAATAGTAGGTAGATACATTATACAATGATCATGTAATGTCAGCTGTCAATGCATTAGCTATTTTTTCTGCGACCTTTTGTAAATATTATGAGATACATAAACTTACAAAAGCGTAAATTAAAATTTTTTTGTTCCTAGTATTTCTACTTAGAGCATTTAGAACTCAGAAAAATTGATTTTAAATTGACATATTTCATTATTTATATGTTTAAGATTAATACCCGTCGGTATTTGTAGAACGATTCAGGATAGTTAGTAAAAAAGCTCCTGATCAGTGGCGGCTCGTGGGCACTAGCGGCAGTGGGGCACACACTGGAAAGGAATCCCGGAATAGTTGAAGCCCATTCTTCTGGAGTTTTGGCTAGCGAAGTGATCGATGACCAGATTATTAAAATTTGGAATGGACCGAATAAGTTTTTTTTCGATGGATAACATGGCCAACGCGCACAATCTATCTTGGGACATAGCGTTTCTTAAAAATATTTTAATACGGTTTAGTGTCGAAAAACATCTTTCATTCTCCACTGTGGTCATGGGAATTGCACACAGGATAGTTAGCAGCTCCACAGATTCCGAAAATGTAATTGTCAAATTGTTCTCAAAAACATTTGTAATAACGGTACGGCCCCAATGTGTTGCACAAAGTCATCTCGGGTGTAAAGTATGGACAGTTCGTTTTTGAATTTTAAGCTGTTTACGTTTGGAAATAAACTACACACAGTTTTAACGTACTCATTTGGAAAACAACCTCGGTAGTCTTTAAATTTTTCACTATCAAATAAACTTGCAATTGTTAGGTGGGTAGTAAAACTAAAACGTTAATTTACCTGCACTGCAATTGTATCACAAATTTCCTTACATATCCTTAAATTAGGAATGGAGTCCTCCTTTTCAACAAACCGTCTCTTCTTGCTTGTACTTGGACCTGATTAAGTGTTGTCGTTTAGGTTTAGTTCTTGTGGGTCTTGTTGTGATTGCCATTCTTCATGAATTAGCGTGTCTATTTTATTTCTAATATTTTGAATAGCTGCTGCAAAATTTGATATGTTTATCTTAACCTTGAGAGCATCGAGCTGTCTACTCTGCAGTTGATCAAAAAGTATATCGCAATTTGGCATTATTTTGCTGAAGAAAAATAACCAGAAACTAAAATATGTCTTTCAAAATTTATCAACCCTTTAGTCTGATTAAATAAAATAAAAATTCTAACGCTTCTAACGCTTCTTACTCCTTGTTATGTAATATACTTACGACTGTTATAAAATAAATGCTATATTATCATACCGAGAATTTTTTAGAGTAATTTGAAATCCTTCATTTGCTTCTTTTTCCATAAATTTAGTAATATTACAAATAATATCTCTTTTTTGACTATTAAGGGACCTCCCTTTTAATTCGATACTCTTTGGAGCCACTAAAACACAAAAACACAATACTTATATGTAAATATAAATCACAAAGCACTATAATTATATAAAATGGTCACTTTTCGCACTATATTCACTTTGTATATACTTGTTGCAGCAAAGAAGATTTAAGCAATATTTAGTTTTATGTGTATCATAAACCAGAACAAATAAAATAGATTTGATTTTCGTGACAGTATATATTTTTTATTACTAAAAATCAATCAATACAATGACAATCATTTATATCTAGTAAACGAATAAATAAAACACAAAGTAGTAATTAGTCATTAGATTAGATAGCTCTAACAATACTCGACCCAGGTTACGTCACTAAATGGCTTTGCCGAGTGGCCGTTGCTAGGCAACAGCCAGTGCGCAACTTTTGTCGTCGCCATGCTGTGTACCAATCTCATCTTGGCCCGGCTCTACCCCACGTCACAATGAGGACAGCGCCCCGCTTGTGACGTATAATCCATCGCATGTGTTCATCTCTTGCTAAGCGATATTGTCATTGTCCTTGTTTTTCGCATCATAATGAGAGAGAAAACAACAGAGGCACACATTTGCTGTGCCCATGTTCCACTTAATTTCGGAATTCTCGAAACGTCGCTCAACGCCCGGTCGTCCAGTGCCGTGCCAACGCGGTTCGCGTTGAATATTAGATAAATTAATAATAGGCATTGAGGAAAATATAAAATATGTAAATTATTTTTTTGGTTTATTATACTAGGACACGTGCCCAAGTGCCCTTACGGGCAAACCGCCACTACTCCTGATTAGGGGAAGAAGTACAATAATTAAAAAAAAGCAATCTGTAGTTTACGGGTAAGTATATAATTATTATGGGAGCTGCTACAATTTGGTGAACCTAACCGTAAGAGCATACGTGCTTAATTTTAATTAAAATTATTTAAATAAATGCAATAATATTTGTTTGGAGATATTTTAGCTGACTGTGTTAAAAATAAAACTTTAAAACATTAAAAAATATATTTTAACAAAAAAAACTGCTGTACGGTACATACCTAATTAGGTAGTTATTTTTAATACATAATATGTAAAATAGAACCGAACCCCAATTTTTGAATTTTGTTATGGGAATAAAGTACTAGGTATTTTTCTTTGCATTGTTATGGTCTGGAATTCACATGTATTAGATTTAGATATATTAACTTCATTCCTATTGCTCCATTTCGTTTTTCCATTTTTACAGCGAACTATGTCCTTGCTATCAAAACAATAGTGTGTTGTTCACACGCTGTGTGCTTAATATAAGTTTGATATTTCAAAATTTTGAATTGTCAAATTTGATTGACAATAATTTTCAAGCGATCGTAATTTAGTAAAATTAGAGGAACGTGTTTTCGAAGACGATTTTCAAAGTGAATAGCTGTGTGTTGGTGCGAGTTTGATTTGGATTTGTTAGTTATACCGTTGTAAACGGGATTTGATTTGCACAACTATTTTGGAATTTCGACTGATAGCTAGTCTTATATTTGGCAGTCGTTATTTTTGCCGCAAGGGATTTAATTATACTGCTATTCCTGGTTCAATTACCACCGAACAAATTTCTTCAAGAGACCACGCATCCTCCATTTTGTAAACCCTCTTCGAACTGAGGTAAGTTAATTGATAATCTCTGGTAACTATGTTTGATTGTTATATCGGCTTTTCTTATTTCTTCTAGGGTTTTTTTTTATTTTCCCTTTTGCTTCCAATTTTGGATTTTATGGTTTTCGTTTCATATTCGGCGCAGTTTCAATTTTGGTGTTCCCGATTTACCGGCTGTGATCGTGGAATATTTATCAATTGGGTGATAGATTGTAGCTACACCTTGAACATTGGACTGAAGTGGCTGGAACCCGGACCCGTAGCTAAGTACCGAATAAGGATATCATTTTCAATTTGTTTTATTATCACTATTAATTTTACTTTTAATTAGTAGCACTATCAACATTAACGTTATTAATATTCTCGCTATTAGTTTTTTTATAATAAATATTAGTGCTATCAATATCTTCGGTATTAATATTATCACTAATAATTTTATTATTAATTTTCCTTGTGCCCTTGATATTAGCACTACTAATAATACCATTATTAATAATATCACGGTTGGTATATTATCGATATTATTTTGTTACTATTACCATTTTGAGTTATTGTATATATATATATATATATATATATAATTTTGCCTCTTAGTGAACACACTTGTCACTAATTTGTTCCGTGGTTTGGCTGGAACTTAAACTATTGGGCTTATAGTAGTTACGTAGTGGGACTTCAACCCTACAGTCTGTAAAGCGCGTATGATCATACCAGCTAGTGTACGGCTCTACTATCTGTTTTATTTTTCTTTCCATGTTAGCTTTACATATGTATCCTATTTTAAGATTATAATACAGGAGCTTCTTGTTAACAAACGTTTATGCACTATATCTTGTTAATAACTGATTGGCCTGTCATTATAAACATTACGATTCAATTGTTGTTTACTTTTCCGCGTTTTGTCTACTAGTGAATCATATAATTTGTGAACTGCCTTCAGCACTTTGACCAAAATTCGGTGGCGCTCATATACCTGGACTTGACTTTATAGCTGACCTTGAAAAGCAATATTTTAAGGAAACTCACCCCTGATTCTTCTCTGAGCTAGAATACTATTTTGAAGCCTACATTATTCTGGGTCTAACGACGGCTTTGGCCTTTTAATTCAAAATAAAAAGTAATTATAAGCGCACCTTGGCACTTTTATCGCTAGCCCTCCACCGTTAAAATACTAGGGTAGCGAAGGCACGGGGTGGATGTAATAGCATCGAAAGTGTAGCACTGAGTTACACCACTTCTGAAAATATCGTTCCATTTATACAAATTGTACGGACGGAACGATATTTTCAGAAGTGGCGCAGCTCAGTGCTACGCTTCCGATGCAAAGGAAAGGACCTATAATGAATACTTATATAACTAGAACTGTTACTAACAATTCTATTAGGCGTTCCAACGACCTGTCAAAATGCAGACAAGTGTGAACTGACAGTTTAGATATGGCAACCTTGTGGCCTGTTGTCATTGACAGGATCAGTGATACATATCTAGTTATATGGATTGCTCAAAGCGGGTGGCCATAATGCCTCGCAAGTGCTCACTAATCGTAATCGGTTTAGTAAAAATATGTTTAGAAACCAATTCTCAGCCTTTGAATATAGTAAAAAAAATAATTACCTACGTTTTTACTACAAGGCATAAGCTTATGTTTATTTTGAAAAACATGGAAGATCAATCTATATAACTATCTATGTCATTGACCCTGTCAAATCACCAGGCCTACAGGGTTGCCATATTTTTGCCATAGCATAACCTGTCAAAACCCAGTGGTAGCCATTTTGTTTGAAATGTCTAATTGTTACACAAAAACCATTTGTCAACTTTATTATAAATAATTGTCAAATAGTTAAATTGGATAGAAAATGGCGTCGGTTAACATTGAAAGTCTGTGACTAAAATTATTAGTAACGGTAACTCTTTTACTTGTGCATTTTATGGTTCATTCAAGTAAATACCATCAAAGACAAATGACAAGAAGACAGATGACGTGAAGTGATGACTATAAAGTCTAGATCTCCCTTTATGCTTCTATTATAAAAAAATTTGTGATTTATTTTGCCCTTAAAACTATATTTAGGTATAATTCAAAAAAATTTAGACACTAAATTGTACTTAGCAAATTTCCTAATTAACAAATCTCTTCAAATTTGGTCATACCTATCTAATTTACATTTTATATAGATAAAATTAAATAATTTAACAATTAAAACATGAATTAGAAAGAATAATAATAATAATAATAATAAAAATAATAATAAAGGTCTTTATTTTCCTTTCAAGTTACATAACTATTTACAAACATTATGAAAAAAAAAGCAATCGTAACAAAGCAAGAAAGGAAAAATGCCGAAGATCAGGTGACGATAATTTCAATGAAATCATCGCCTCTGTTTTTCATCTTAAGCAGTAGTAACAATGACTAAAATTAACTTAATTTCTAATTACTAAAAAAAAAAACAAATAAAACAATTTCAATTAGCAATATCAGAAACATTAGAAAATAATATGAAGGAATATTTATTTTTTAGAATATTACCAAATATTACCAACTATTACCAAATAACGCGATAGACGATTAGTGACTTTTTAAAGAGGAATTTTCCATGATTAAAGATGAGTTACTACTCGTTTAAAAATGTATGTTTAAGTGATTTTTTGAATGCGGGTGTAGATTTTAATTTTAATTCATTAGGTAAAGCGTTATATATTTTTGATATTTGGTATGTAAAGGAGCGTTTATATTTTTCTGTGCGGTGAGGGGGAGCTGTTATTCTGTGCCTATATCGAGTATTTAGGAAATGCGTATCAGAACCGTATTTAACTTTATTATATAAATAAACAGGTAAGCGGTTTTTAATGACTTTATGGAATAGACAAGCAGCGTGAAGTAACCTTCGTTTTTCCATATTTAGCCAATTCAAAGTTTTTAATTTATGGGATATAGGTTGTCGTCTTCTAATTCCACAAATTAGACGAATACATGAGTTCTGCATGACCTGAATTCTCCTTTTGTCATCTGACCCAATACAGGGACCATAAAGGACATCTCCATAGTTGAATTTTGATAGAACCAACGAGTCACATAGAATTTTTTTAACATTAAATGACAGGTAATGACGATTAATGTAGATTGTTTTTAAGTTAATGAAGGCATTACGAATACATATATTAATATGACTGCTAAATTTGAGCTGATTGTCCATGACTATACCAAGGTTTTTGGCACTGTTTACGGGTTTTATTATATCACCCTCAAAATTTAATTTAATTGAGTCAGGACAAAATTTATTAGGGCCAAAGACAAGAACATTCGTTTTTTTCGAATTAATGCTAAGAGCATGTGTTTTTGCCCACATAGCTAAGTTTTTGAGATCTTGGTTGATAAGGTCAGTGGCATGTAAAATATTGTTTGGATGAAAAGAGCTATAAATTTGTGTATCGTCGGCATATAGGTGAGCCTTGCAAGATTTTAAGACTGTTCCGATATTTTTTGTATAGAGAGTAAATAGTATAGGTCCTAATATAGATCCCTGAGGAACTCCAGATCGTACCCTCATAGAATCAGAAATAATTTCACTAATTTTAACACGTTGGCTTCGATCACTTAAGTAACATTTTATCAGACCTACGGCATCAGGCGAAAATCCTATATAATGAAGTACGGCACACAGCAGGGAATGATTAAGGGTATCGAATGCTTTACTAAAGTCTATTAAGATTAAAACCGAAATGTTACCATCATCCCTAGCCTTTAAAATATCATCGGTTACGTTAAGAAGTGCAGTTTCACAGTTATGAGATGGTCTGAATCCTGACTGATATTCTGGTAAAATATTATGAGTTGATAAGTAGATACGAATTTGTTCTTCTATTATTCTTTCAAGTACCTTTGAGAGAGTTGGGAGAATACTAATGGGCCTTACATCCTTAAACTCGGTTGGATTACTAGTTTTTGGGACAGGTCTGATAAGTGCTTGTTTCCAGTTTCTAGGGAAGTATTGTTTGTTAATGCAACTATTAATTATATGTGAGACATAGGGAATTATTAAGGGACAACATTGAAGCAACATTTTTATATTTAAGCCATCAGAACCTTGAGCATTTGATTTGATTGAGTACAGTAGTTTTTGGACTCTATCATTTGTAACTGGAGTGAAAGAAACTTTGTCACGCGAAGGGATATTGTTAAGATAACTATCAAGGACTTTTCGATCTGCAGGTAAGTTTGGAATACATGAAGTGTAATATTTATTTAAATTGGTGGGGTTACATAAGGTATTGGGTATAGTATGTGACTCTTTTCCGATGTTTAGATGTTTTAAATTTTTCCACATATTATTAATACCTCCTACTCTTAATTTGTATTCAAAATATGCTTTTTTTTCATTTTTGCAGGCTAAAGTAGTATAGTTTTTTAACATTTTGTAGTATTCTAAGTGACTCACTTTTTGCTTTTTTGCCATCTTTTTTTCGCTTTATCTCGTAATGACATAATATACCTAATGTTATCTGTTAACCAAGGATTATATTTTTTGGTGATTCTTATCTTTTTATAGGGTGCGTGTTTATTGAAAAGCGAAATGATTGAATTATTTAGGAGATTTATTTTCTCATCAATGTTGTCCAAGCTAAAAATGTTGTCAAAAGGTATAGAATTCAAATCACATAGAAAGTAATCTTCATCAAGGTTTTTAAAATTTCTTACTATTTTAAAAACATGTTTAGAATTGTTAGAAGAAACATTAAGTATGCAATAAATGAGTTCATGACTTGTCATATGATCTGCGGGAAGAAAGCCAAATGATTTAATTAAGTCACGGTTAGACGTTATTAAGTAATCAATTAATGTTTCAGAGGTCGGAGTTATGTGAGTTGGTTTATCAATAATTTGTATTAAATCATGACTTTCTAACAAGGAGTTTATTTTCTTAGCTTTAGTTGAGTGCATTTTCAGCAGGTCAACATTGAAATCGCCCAAACATAATATTTCATCAAATTCCGCAGCTAAATTTGTTACAGTTTGTTCAAAAACTTCAATAAAATCATTAAGTATATAGTTAGGAGGTCTATAAGCAACACAAATACCTAAAACTAATTTATTTATTTTAAGTTTAATCCATAGTTGTTCGATTTTTTTGTCAGATTCGACAACTGTGAATCTTAAATGATTTTTTAAATAAATACATACACCTCCACCTCTACACTTTAGATTTCGATCCTGTCGTACTAATTTATAGTCAGCTAAGCTTATCACGTTATTTGGTATCGTCGGCTTTAGCCAAGACTCTGACACACAGAAAATATCAAAGTCTTTCTCAAAAATAAAGCCTGCTACATTATCAAGTTTTGGTAACAACGAACAAATATTAATATGTGCTACCTTCAAAAAACCACTCATTTAATAAAACAATTTTACTTATATTCAGTTATCTATTAGCCTAAAATTCAAATTAGTTATTCCACCAAGGTAAAAAGAAAATTATTAATGGGTATAATATTTAATTATTAGGTACAAAACGAATAATTTAAAGTAAGGTAGGTAAATGAAGTAATTACTAAATGGTTACTTAATTGCTAATCGATCACTTCTAGTCTTTGGACTGTAATGAATTTTACTACACCTTCGGTTATTATTCCCTACTTTTTTTCTGATGTCTCTATCTGCTTGGAATTAGTGTCTTCTTCCCCTTCACTTTCGCTAGATATTGCTTCTTCTCAATTAGCGTTTGTTTTTGGGACCGTATTTCGAGAGTATGCCGATTCGCCTCCTTATCTCTAATCTTCATAGTGATGACGAAGATCACCTCTGTTTCCGAATCTTGTATTAATAACAATTTACAAGAATAATAATAATGGGTTTTAAAAGACATTGTTTATTAGATCATTCCTTTACAAAGAGTATTAAATAATAATAAATAACTAAGATTTTCAGCTACGTTTGATGTTATAATAAACTAGTTCAGACTTACGACATACATACATTACAATATGCAATTTTGTTCTAATTTTGATATAGCAATTACATAATTAATTTTTAATTTAAGATATGTTTAGTTTCTGCTTTTCCACTTCTAATTTCAATAAATCAATATTCGTAAAAATATCGTTGACTATTTCATCACAATCTTCTTTCGTAGCAACGGAAGCCACGTCAGCTATAAATCCTAAATGGATTCTACTGTCATAACTGATCAGCGCAAAACCAGTACCTAAAAACAGACACATTAAAAAAAATTGTGGTTTCTCATCATGAGATTGCGATATTAAGCAGATTGATATACTACGTCACGGTGACGTATGGTGATGTTTACGAATTTGAGGTATCATCTGATTGAAAACAGCGCACAAAAATTTAATCTGCTCATGGCTAATAAGCTATATTTCACACCACAATACGTCATGCGCTAACTCCACGAGATAACGTCCGCAAAGTATCATACCTCTGTAATTTTTTGTGTCATGGTTTCTTATTCTCTTTGACTACTTACCCATCTGATCTCTCAGAGGAGTGAAGAAATAAACATCTTCCACTTCGTAACCATTAAATACAACTATTTTGGGAAATACTGGTAAATTACTGATTAAACCCCATATATTATTTAAAGGAAATAGAACTTTCATTATGGGTATAGGAATTAATTGAAATAAGTTGAAATTGATGTAATTGTGCATCTAGAAATGAAAATTTTTGTATTAATTTCAAGAAGTGCTGGTTCTATATCTGATTAACTACATTTTTAGGTTAGTATTACAAACTGTTTACACAGCTTATACAATACAGCTAAAACACTCTCTTGGCGGCAACGGTTTGCGTCGATTTCGTCGCGCATCGCTTAAGCTCCGCCTTCGGAGGGAAAAGACGGTTTTGGCGTTCAGAAGCGTACTTAGGTAAGGTGTTGAGTCCTGCGTATAATTTCGTTGATTGTATAATTTCGTGGAGCCTATAATTTCGTTGATTTTCTTTGAGTTAAAGGTACTGTTATTATTTTGGTGACTCTTTAGCTGTGAGTAGAATAAGTGAAAAAAAAGACATCATTCTGTTTGTGCAGTCAAAAGCTGTTTTAATAAGGGTTATACCTGCAAGAAAACATTCTTTAGTTTTCCCAAGGACCCAAACCGATAAGTATCACATTATAAGAAATTTTCATTGTTAAAAATATAATTTATACAGGGTGTTCCATTAGTGCGTTATTGTTCATTATTTTGTAGACACGCAAAAAAGTTTTAAATAAAAGTTATATGGATTTAAAAAATTCCTACATATTTTAAAAATATCTTTGGATATACAGGGTGTCACGTTTTTGCCTGGCAAATTAAAATGTATGTTTTTTAAATGAAACACCTTATATTTTATTTTATGATGAAATTATTAACACCCTAAATTATTGTAAAGACGAGTTGCTACAAAAAATTTTTATCAGGTATGTGTGTGGTTACCTTTTAATTAAAGCCTTGCAGATATACTCCTGTGATACCTGTCTTAAATATAATAAAGATCACGTTGAATTAGATGATTTTTCTTTTTATTGCTTTTTAAAGGCATATGATAACGCCAATTCAGATACATTTGGAAATCTGCAACTGTCAAATGATGAATTTGTAGAACTTATATTCAATATTGAAAAGATATTTCAAAATAATTTTGAAGAATTGGCTACAAAAAATAACATTTGTACCACGTTTTACAAAAAAATAACCTATTTTAATGTATGTTTAATCTCAATAACTAAAAAATATACTGACAATTAGTTTGACAGAATTGTCATTTATTTAAAATTTTAAAAATAATAGCAGTCGATTGATCAAAATATGAACGGTGATTGGCGAATTTATTTTTTTTGCAGTGTTCTCACTACCTAGAATGGATATGAAATATATTCGTTCAATTGAAGACAATAGCATACTTTTTCGTTTTGTAATCTGTGCATGGATATTAGCCAATCTACGAACATACTACAAAACGAAAAAGTAAGCTATTGCGTTCAACTACGAATATATTTCATATCCATTTTAGGTAGTGAGAACACTTTAACAAAATTAAATCTACAAATCACAGTTCATATTTTGGTCACCCAACTCCTATTATTTAAAAATTTTTAAATAAGTGACAATTCTGTTAAACTTATTGTCAGTATATATTTTAGTTATTGATATTAAATATACATTAAAATTTTTGTGTAGACTCGATAAATAATAGCATTTTTATTTTTATTGTGTCCACATTTAAAAAAAAATAAATTTTAATCAAACTACATGATACTAATTTAATTACGAGTATTAAAACTAAAGTCCTGAAAGTTTCGGTGAAGATGAGGATAGAACATCTGCCTTTCACGCGAAAAGCCCGGGATCGAATCTAGGCCAAGGACTAATTAATTTTTCATGTTTATTTTATTTTATAAATTAGTCAACTTTATAAATTATTTTAAAATTAGTTATTTTGTCTAAATAACCTAAAATAATTTTTTAAATTTGTAGATTTTCGTTAGTGGGTCGTAGAAAAAATATACTGACCACATCGAGTGGATTGTTCATATCACAATCAGACGATTGAGTACTCCGCCTACGACGTCGTGCTCAAACTTCGTCTTTGTGTGATATGGCTATCATATCCACCCTTGTTGAACAAACTACTATTTATTTGTTTTCTTGGTTTAAGTTTTACATCAAAAATAGGAACTAAATTAATTTACTTTTCAAGTTTTCTTGTAAAAATCGATATTACTTTCTCCAAGTACAAATTTAGTACCTACCTAAAATAAGTATTAATTATGTAATTTCGTGTAATATTGTAATTCAAATTTCACATTACTATAAAGTTTCAAAATTCCCTACTTCGGTATGGTCAGATAAAAATTGAATATATTATATTAATAAAAACTGTCAAAGTATTACTTCTACAAATCTGTATTTCAATTAATAAGAATACATCTAAATATAACCAATATTGTTAAAATAAAAGCACAAATTCTTTATAATTCCAAAATACCATAGAGTTCCCAGACCTCAGTCGAAGCATTCGTTTATCTAGGTATTAACCCTTTGCACGAAGAGTAACACTTGCCAGACACACGGGGTACCACTTGATTTGCATCCACGAGCGTGACAAAATTCTTTAACAATTGAAGCCCTTGGTGTAAAAAGGATCCAAGCCACAATTTGTCGTGAAGTGACTGTCTTAGCTCAAAACATTTGTTAACGAGGATTTTACTAGCGACATACAAATTATTTTACCTCTAATCCGAAAGATGTGCTATTTTTCGTAATATTTATATTTTAATAATTTTTTAAATTATATTTGACAGATTTAAAACAAATTAAAAATTTAATTTCCCAAAACTTACTTAATATGGCATGTAACCAACCTTATTACGTGCCAAGGTTTTTAATTTTTTCAATAATAAAAAAATTGTTTAATCCGGGCCCGACTTTTCCCTCGAATCTAACAGAGATAGCACCATTCCGTCTTGCTTGGTTCTCGACCGCCAGATCAAAGACGCCGACACGGAGTTGTGGAGCTGTATTGTATAAGCTGTGCTGTTTATATAAGTCAACACACAGAATTATCCATTTTATTTTTAATAGTCATTTTCTTTGGAAAATGATCAGAATTGTCATTATAGATATAAAACGTCTTGAATAATTTGTTTATAATACGACACGGTAATATAAATTAGAGAACTGGTACTTTTATAGTATAATTATAGCTTGCCTTCCTTATTAATTAGTTATCTATGTCCCTTCGTTTACAATACTTTATTCCTTCAACAATATCAATTAAATACATAAAATTTACTTACCAATAATTCTGGACTTTTCAACAAATTCCTGGAATTCTTCTTCAACAAATCCATTCGGTGCAGGAGCGAACTGGATCCTGTTTTGACTGGTATTTCTAAATTTACTAGTCCAAATTGGTTTTTTAGTATCGGTACACCGTTTACATTCATTGGTTGTAAATCTCTGGTGGCGACGACAGCCAAAGACACCGATTTTGGTACTCGATGATAGTGCTAAAAAAATCAAACGAAATGAAATTAGATTCTTCTTTCTGGCATCAACTATTAACATCGTCCTAGGAGACCCACTTTGTACCTGCTATACACTTATTTTGCAATGTTAGATTACTATTTTTTAATGGAAAACGTTAAAGTTATTTAATAAAGGTACTCATTTTATTAGTTATAGTTATAACTTTCCATTTAGCATTAAAATAAGAGACTAAAGGATTCCGTGCAAGAAAATGAGTAAGGACTCTCTATAATAGAGTCATAGATAAGTTTTTATGGTAATGGTAAACTTTTCAGGAATATTATTAGGTCGTGCGCCAGTAAATTCTCTTTAGTTTAAATGAATAACTAATATATATTCTGCTAGTCAGGAGTAGTCTAAAGACTGACTAACAATTTCCTTATCAATAAAAATGTACAGGCGCAGAGAATCTATTGTAGCAGAAAGACATTAATAATGTTTAAATTTAACATATAATGAATAATTGATTTAAATCTTTTCAAGACAATATTTAAGTTATAAAAGCACTGATAATACAAATAAACATGACTAGTACCTTAGGTCAAAAAAATTATGTTCAGAGAAAGCTTATGTGGATTTGTTTATACTTAGCTGCCAGATTTAGTTGAATCTACTTTAACGAAGAAAACAGGAGATACCTTGGGTAGTTTTTTACCAACTACAATCTATTTTCAGACTAAATCTTCTGCAACAATAGGTATTTATAAAAAGCGAACTAAAATAGTTGTTTCCACAAAAACAATACAAAACATTCCATTAAATTCCACATTCCATATACCTAGCATCTGGAAAGTCGCTGAAATTATAATAATACCCAAATATGGAAAACCACCAAATGAAGTGAAGTCCTATAGACCTATATCTAGTGTTATCTAAACTTTTTGAAAAACTTTTAGTAAAAAGATTGAAACCACTGATTGACAGTAAAAATATAATATCTGACCACCAATTTGGATTTAGGAACAAGCATTCCACTATTGACCAAGTTCACATAATAACGAATGAAATAGACAAAACACTAGAAGAAAAGAAGAGCTGCACCTCACTCTTTCTAGATGTAGATAGATCAGGCTTTCGATAAAGTATGGTTAGAGGGCCTTGAATATAAAATAAATAAACTTCTGCCTACGCAATATTGTGACATCTTAAAATCTTACTTGACTAATAAAATCTTCCGAGTAAAACAAAACGAAGAATATTTCAAGCTTAAAGAAACTTAAGTAGAGGTACCTCAAAGAAGTGTTCTGGGACCAGTTCTTCACCTGTTGTTTACCTCCGACTTACCACAAACACAAAATATGCCGACGATACAGCAATACTTGCCATCGGTAAAAACAAAAAGCATCTCATTCGAGTAAAAAGCTTGGAATTTAGGTAACAAATTTGGCATTTTCGTGGCAATTACACCTAAAGTTAAACATATATAAGACAAAAAAAGGCTCCTTAGAAGCCTCTCCTAAAACGCATACCCGTGGTCGAAAATTGTTGAAATTGGACGATAACTAAAAACAAATCATTCGAAGAACTGTACATTCTTTTTTTTTTCGAAAACAAAGTCCCCCAACACTTAAAGTTGTTCTTACGAAATTAAGAGAAAACGAAGAAATTCCATTAATGAGCCGTTAAACTTTTATGGAAAAATTTTATGGGGCCTAAAATTTGCACACAAGATTTTTTCTACGATCACACTTTTTTAAGAAATATATATATACAAAAATTGCAAATTTGTTGTAAATAGTGTATAATGTGTTGCCTATGCCTACGTTAATCATAAAACAACCATTGATATTGAGAGGCTAATGAGCTCATAATAAATAGGCACTCTGAATTTTATATATTGTGAATAGTTACTTTTGTTCTTACTTTTTGGAACTGATTGTATATGCTAGCAGATACTGCTGTTAGTATGATCTCCGAGAAGCTGGTATCTCCAATATCGTTTTTCAATTTTTTTATGGTTTGCAATAAGCCATCGCCGCTTTTTTCTGCTCTGAAGGCGATGTGGTGCTTTGTAGACGTGTACGGCCCATCGAATTTATTCAAGGTTCCTTTCAGGAATGATACAATCAAATAACCTAAAACGAAAACGATATAATTGAATTTATGAGAAATATTTTAGAACGAAAAATATATGTTTTTAAATTGATATAGGATGAATAGTAAAACATGGTTACTATCGTACAGCAAACAAGAAATAATCAAATTAAAAATATCTACGCAAAAAGCAAACTAAGAAAGAGGGGACAACCACATGACCAAGTAAATTTCATCAAAGCTGTCAAATTGGTGAATCATACATCTGAAATAAAGGGTTAGAATTCGTTTTTACTCAAAGATTCAAAAATATGAGTAATTTTGTAATTTATTTGGGGACTTTTTGTACTTTGTATTTTTTGTACTTTGGTTTTTGGATCAATAACCTCTAGGTTTTTGGAATTTTAAACCGATTTTTCACTATATACAAGTTCCATGGTTTTCTAATTCGTATACTATTGAAGGCTCGAGTTAAATTCCCATGTATAAATAAAGAACCAATAATAGCATCGCTTAATATAACCTTTTACAAATTATGATTCAAAAAACAAACAAACCAAACAGACTTCTGTCTATACTTTTCAATCGTTTTCTGAGAAAATGAATGACCATACCAGAAGAAAAGCATCTTATACCAGATCACCATTGAGTCTAGTCAAGAACACTCAACTGTTGCAAGAGTTAGGATAGATGTTTCAGCAATGGATTTGAACACACACAATCACAGAAGAGATAATTAATTCTTAGTCCAATATGAACAAACATCTCAAAATACTATACAACATTCCTGTGCCCTATAAAGGAACGTTTATTTCAATACTAACCTGGAACAATGAAAAACAAGAATAATTCTTGTAAAGTCTTAACAGGTGGAATCTTGGTCCAACCCGGGCTTTTCGGTACTATCTTTTTCAAGCTGTCTTCGAAAGTGATGTTATTTTCTCCCAAAGTTTGTGCGCACAAGTTCATAACGCATAATCCATCTGCGATCGTGTGATTTATCCGTATAAACATCGGTATTTGATCATCTCTGATGCCGTTGACCCTTTTCCAGTCCGAAGAAGCTTTTACTATGATCACTTCCCACATGAGTTTGTCCTTTTGAGGCATTGGCTTGTTACTGTACGAGAATACTAAGTCCTGCATTGATTTGTAGTTAGCTTTTTCTGCATGAATCACTGTTACTATATCGTCGGTTGTCATTTCTTCTCTTAGGAGATAGGGATAACCTGTAAAAGTAAAATAAGTAGAGAGCAAAATGTCTTAAAGAAATTATAATCGCGCTAGGTTGTGTCAAAGAAGAATAAATAGAGCTAATTTGCATTTGGACATGTCTCCTAAGATGTGTAGACTCATTATGATTGATTAGGTTAAATTTTCTGGAACAAGGACCGACAAGGATGCCGTAACACACGAAATATCTTCAATAAAGCAAGTGGAAATATCGCTTCGAAAGAAAGTAATTGAACTTAGTTTCGTGAGGTATTTTTGCGAGATTTTTACGTGAGATACGTTTCTAAAGATACAGTACTTGCTGTAATCTGACGTAAAACTACTGGTTCGTTACCTAAAAACGTATTTAAAGAGCACATCATCTTCCCGTACTTTTCGGGATGCTTGAACATTCTTTCTTGGATCACTTCTTTGACGTCTTTCTCGACATCAGTGTCTTCACCTTTTCCGTTCAGAAACAGTACAAGGTTGATTAGGTTGTGGTAGTTTTCGCCTACCGCCCAAAAGATGTCGGAGTTTTCCAGTGGTACTATCTTTCCTCTGTAGTATAGTGTAATCCCAAAAGACACGATGTTTTTTAGTAACCATAGATAGAAAAGGAGAATAACATAAGGAATGAAGGTGATTAGAGACATCAGGATGATTTCGATTGGCACCATGTTGGTTTTTTGACGATGTGCTCGGGATCTGAAAATAAAAATGCGTGTAATTACTAATCTACTTATAGAGAACGTATTTTTGAGAAGAGGTTTTAAGAATAGCCCCCCAAGGCTTTCAGATTTTTCAACTTGCACACCTATGTTTTATTATTATTAATGATACAGTTTTCTAATGATCAAAATTAAAAAAAAAATTGACAGACCTAATATAGAAATTATTTAATTTGATAGGTAATATTCAAATTTAATGCATGTCTTTGGATAGAGGGTAGGGAATAGGGTGTGATTTATAAAAACTTCTTGTCAAATTACCTCATTTTAATATTCTTGGTAATTTTTTTACATGAAAAAGTGATGAAAATTTTGAAAATAGTTTAAAAATCTTCTAAAAATGTAGTAAAAATTTGTAGATAATTAGGGTTAAGTTTAAAACCACCCCCTAGAGACATATGAATTAAATTTGGGTGTTCTAATGAAATAATTCCCATAAGTCAATATTTTTTTTTATAATTTTGACCTATTTTGGTTGAAGCCTAAAAAGTGAAGGTGAATTTTTTATCATATCAACAAAATGGAGATATGAAAAAAGTTAAAAAATAATGTTAAGAGTCATTTCTAGTGAATGGTTTGACAATGGGTTGTTTTAAGTTAACTTTGTTGCTCTTTAAAAGACATTTTATATGCCAACATATTTTTTTAAATCTTATAATATAATTTTTATATTAAATTAAAAATTTATAAAACAGTTATAAATGGTAACTGCATTCAACAATTATTTTCAAATAAACTCAATAGTTCTGTAGTACGGCGTCCATTTTTCTTAGCTTCATTATAAATTATTTTCTTTTGTAAATTTTCTTTCAGCTTTTATAAAATATCAAACTGTTACTTGGAGACTTTTCCGGAAAATGAAGGATTTGCGTGAAAAAAAGTAACAATGACGTTATGTCAGCTAAAAATGAATTGTTTGAAGAACTTGGAGAACATTTCTACTGTGACGCTGTTGAAATGCTGTAGCGTTGTTGGAACAAGTGCATTAGAGATAACCGTGAAAACAAAGTAATTATTGTTAAGCTATTCTTTTTATTAAAACAAATTCAGGGATATTGTGTAGATTTAAGAGGAGTTTGACATTATTTGTCCTTGTCTACCGCGACTTTTTCAGATATATTGTGGGGGCGTTGTAAAAGGACCAAATCTTGTAATTATATATCTTTCTTAGGGCCAGTCTTTTCACCTTTGAGTAAATTTGAAAGTAACTATTTGCTGATTAAACTATAGGCTTATCGTTTGTTAATCTGTCAAGTAAATCTACATGTAACTTTACTCAGAGGTGAAAAGATCGACCCTAAGTCTAAAATTAAACTTAACTTACCAATTATGTTCTAAAGGTTACAGGAGCACTTACACATACACCCAAGTAGAATATGATTTTTGATTATCGAAAATCGATTTCATTACAATTTTAACCCGGATGCGAAACCTAATCTTATCCCGTTTTCCTGTTGCTATCTATCACGAATCAATTAAATAAAATTATGCAATTATTATGTAATGTTAACTGTTAATACATACGCATAAGTTGAAATGTTGAATATATCTCGTCAAATAGGTATTAATGGCTTTACCCAAATAAGTATTGTATACAATATTTTTTCTGCGACTCGTTCTTTTGTCACAATATTTTTTATTTATTAGTATTTATACAAGTTTTACTAGGTATTGTTATTCTTGTTTGCCCAAAAATAGTATTATTTAAATTATATACTGCCGATAATGAAAATAGGTCATGAAATTGATTACTGTTACTTAATTAATCAAAATTATAGTTACCTATTACCAATATTATGGAATATACGTGAACGTACGTATGCATAGAATATATTTTTTTATATTTCCCACTTAATACTCATAGATATTAGGTTTTCTGACTCGCAACTCAGAGAACTATATTTTTCTACGCCTACATTTTATGGGTAATTATAATGGCTCTTATAAAACTGCATCCCAAAAAAGGGTTTCCTACCTGATTCGAAAAATATCACAACGAAATTGCATCCCCATAAGGTAAGGGTCACTTATCGTAGGCTAAGCAAACTTAGCTGTAAAATTGAGCCATTGTTGCCACCTTTTGCGTTGTTTATTAAAAATTCTACAGACGTTCTCTTTATATTCAGTAGCATTTTCAGAAAATATTTTTTAGCCAGTAAGGTTTTATAAATTATAATTCTTTTTAGTAACTTCTGTTATTTTATTAATTAATCTAGTTATTTTGTAAATTAACTAATGGGCAATAATTCAACAACAACTACATATTTAAATGTTTATTAAAACTGTAAAATATAATTAAAACTTAGCTCTAAATTTATACGAAATTATTTTAATAAAGTTTAATTTACTTATTTTATGTTGATTTAAATCACTCAACAAATCTTCGAGAAATCTTCTTCTCTTTAAACTTCGAGTGCCAAGTTTTTTAGCATTAGACCACTATTAATTAGACCTCATGAATTGGTTCTCTACAATGAAGAAGAATGCTCTGTCCATATAAAAGGTGGAAAAGATGAGTCTTCTGCAATATAACTGTCAACGAGATAATCACAATACTGCGTAACTTTTTCATTGAAAGGCTTAATGTGTGTTAAATAAGTTGCGAAAATGTCGCATACATCGTAATCCAGAAACAAAGGTTAAAAACTTTGATATTTCCGTTTTCTCTCCCTCTTTTTTTGGTACACTGTAGCTAAGTCCAATTCCTGAATTTTTAGTTACCATGACTGCCCTAAGTGAAAACGACAACCTCGTAGACTTGCTTCTGGGAACGCCTTGTAAATGCTTTTATGAATAGCAATCTCAAAATATGTATTGGCGAAACAGGGTAATTAAGTTTGGCACACTTCTCTATTATATATTTAAAAAAAAGATTGTATGATAAGAATGTTTTATTAGGAAGGAGACAAAAAACTAATGGAATGTATTGATCATTTTTAATACCATGAACTGTAAACAACTGAAGCTTTTCAGCACATTTTAACGCATATAAGCTTGTGACTCAAACTTTAAACACAAAAGCTAAGGTGCTGACTTCAAATCCTTAACCTTATAACCCCATAAACTCATAACCCCATAATGCAATAACCCCATAACCTTAAAAAAAGGCTATAATTTACATCCACACATAAACATTTTTTTGGTTCAAGAGATAAGGCCATCTTTATCTGTAACGTGTAAAGGGTGGGTTACCCCCACGGCACTTAGGCCTCATTAGGCCAATTGTGCATCCTGCTGAGATGATAGGTACCTCCTAGCTCATGAGCCAGCCTACAGATTTAATGTAGTTAACAACGGATTTTGACAGCCGCATGATATGCAGATGCTTTCGTACTTAGCAATGACCAGTCAGAATGCCTGTGACTAGGCGCAGATTCTGTCTAGTCACAGTCAAGTATTTGTTTACTGCAGTGTTGTCAGGATAACTTAAGGGCTCCCTGGCGACTCTGCAGTTTCTTTTTTCAGGTCCAAAAAGTATTTGGTTGGTTGCTTTCTTGGCTAGTGAATCAGCAAGGCGGTTACCTTTTGATGTGACGTAACTTTGATTCATCTTAAGGTGACCACATAGTTGATGGATACTTCGGCCAAAGCTTCGTGACATTTTAGTACTAACCCGGAGTAAATTCGTGGTATGTTCAGGGTGAGTAGTGCTTGCTATCTGTATAGATGAGCATGTTCCTTCCAGTGATATTGTTTCTGGTTATTTCTTTTGCTGCTATGATAATCCCCGTTAGCTCTGTTTGAACTACACTGGCACCATTGCTCACAGCCCATTTTATGTTCAAGCTTAAGAATCTGGAATATATTCCACATCTTGAGCCTTATTTTATTTTTAAACCGTCGGTTTAGATATGAATGGTACCTGCCACTTCCGGCTCTTCTATTTGTTCCAATATAACTTTATATGGCTTACGGCAGATATATCTTGGTAAGATGGAGTCCATGTTCGCTTGAAGCAGTGGAAGGGTATCGAACACCTCCTGCCAAAAGCGACGTCTCGCCTCACCAGATCCTACAACAGGTTCTATACCAACCGTACGGAGGCATGTCATTGTCATCAGAGCAACCTCCTTGATGTAAATATCAAGAGGAGTGAGACTAAGAATGACTTCCATGTTCCATGGCTACTGTTATGTTGAGACATGTTGTTCTTTAAATTTGTTCTAGTTTACGGATAGCTGTTAATTTTTGGGTTTTCGGTGCCCAGAAAACTGCAACGTATGTTAGCATAGGTCTTATGATAGCCGTATAAGTCCATGCGACGACTCTGGAGGAGAAACCCCAGATGCGTCCCACGGTTCGGCGACATTGTTAATAAAACTCTGTTTTCTAAATGCGAGTTCCATGTAAACTTGCTGTCAAAGGTGAGATATAGGTACTTTACCTCTGTTGCAAAGTTTAGTTTTGCGTTTAGGAATTCTGGAGGTTTTAATTCCATTTTCATCCTTTTCCTTGTGGAAAGGACCATTTCTGTCTTCTTAGGATTGATAGTCAGTGAATGGTCCTTGCACCACTGTTCGATAATTTTTAGAGCTACTTGAATTCTTTCGCAGAGTATGTTTTCCTGTTTGCAGAATGACCAGGTCATCTGCATATGCTATTGTGTAGTGACTGTCATTATTAAGGCGGCTAATGAGTGTGTTGAGGACCATATTCCATAGTAAAGGTGATAGTACCCCTCCCTGTGGATATCCCGTCGCAACCAAACCTCTTATATTCACATCTTCTACACTTATGTTTACTGGTCGCTTTGAGAGCATGTTATGTATCCACCCACTGACCATTTGAGGAACATTCCTGTTGGTTAGTGAGTGTATTATCTTTGGGAAGCACCTTCTATGTCTATGAAAAACATCCAAGGCGGACTCTCTATTGTCCAGGGATCTTGCTATCTGGACAGCAACTGGATGAAGGGCTAAATCAGTAGATCCGCCTGGTGTGTATGCATGATGGTTTGGGTGTAGTGGTGATGTTGTAATCACCGCATCCCTTATATACCTCTCGCATAGCCTTTCGAATGTCTTCATGGAAAACGATGTCAAACTACTTGGTCGGTATGTTTTTGGGACAGTGTAATCCATCCTTCTCTCCATTTTTCGGGGATATACCTCAGAGCCAACGAGGATCTGAATATACCCACCAGGTGCGGTGTGAGTTCTTCCAGACCCTACTGAAGTAGGGCTGGATAGATACCGTCAGGTCCTGGCGATTTAAATGGAGAGAAGCTGGATATTGCCCATCTAATATTTTTGTCGTCTACAATGTGTTTGGCAGTTTGCCAATCATAGACAGATGGATTGTATTCTTCTTCTGCTCAGTCCGCCACGTCTGTGATGACCGAGTCAGGAAAGTGTGTTCTAGGTTGGCAGTTTTTTTGCGCACCATTGCTTCGGTGTGGATCTTTTGAGAAAGCTTTTTGAAGCCTCGCTGTCTGCGGGAAATCTTTCATTTTTGCGCAGTGGGATCTCCATGCATCTTTCTGGTTTTGTCCGACGATTTTGTTGTATTCTCTGAGGTGAGATTTGTATCCCAGTCCTCTTTGTGTTTTGTGGTTCTTGCCTTATTAAAAGATTTCCTAGCCATCTTCCTGAGGTGATCCAACTCGTGACACAACCATGCGGTAGTCGTGTGATCGTGTTGGACCAGCCTCAGAGGACATTGTTTATTGTGCTTTGGATAGTGTTCGTGTACTTCTCCAAAGCAGTATTATTGTTTGGTGTTTCGGCCTCCATCTCTCTCAGAGCCTCTTGGAGAAGGTACCCTGTCTGTCTTCCTAGGGCTTCGAGATAGCGTGGAGGTCGGCAACATCAAGTTAAGACCATGTTTTCTATATGTTTTTGGGGTCGTTGAATTTGAATCCGGGGTCCGTTCAACGCAATCAGGTCAATGTTTTGATATAACCTCAAAAAACATAATATATATAAGCCTATAACTTTCCAAACAGCCCAATTTTTTGGGGTTATGGTAAAACACTGACTTAAGATATTTATCGAGCATATCGTGAAAAAACAAAGAAAATATTGTCGAATAAACAAAGGCAATCCAGAAAATCGAAGGACTAAAAAAAATATGAATCAGAATATTGTAATTTATTAAGACCCAGCTGTTCCCCAATTATGAGCACGAACCACGTTTTTTAACAATTTTTTATTTGTCAAATTTAATATCTATTAGAGATTCTAATATGGTTTCAAGAAAATTGGTTCTTTATCACCGGGATAGCACAAGTCAATCCATTGGAGGTATTTCGGAAGTCTATTGATGGACATATTGGCTATCCGAAGAACCTTCAGCATTTTACCGAAGGACATCCATTGGACTATACAAATGTCCCACTTCTGAACGTCCATAAATGATTTAGCGGAACTCGAAGTTTGTAGAGATTGTAGGATTTTGGATTGCACTTGTGATTTTCCGAGAAAAGATTGATCAACATATCCTTCAGCTACGCTGTTAGATTTCCAACCACCGTGCTTCTTTAACTGAACTAAGTCACCGCCTGCATAGACTAATAGGGTTGCCGAACTTCTTCGAAAACAGGGACCAGTGTACTCTTGCGGAACTGACAAATTTAGGCTACTTGTATTGGGAACTTGCTGAACTTGTTAATACCCACAAACTGTTTGGTACATTTACCATTTTGATAGTTGACGAAAAATCTTGAATTAATGTGATTCATTTCTGGTGGACGAAGGTTGATATACTTTTTACAAATATCATAGAAGAATACGGAAATATGAAAAGATCGTGAAACTTTTGTTTTAGTATTACGTAATTCAACCAGTAGCCTATTTTCATAGTCCATAGTTAAATTATTATTATTTTATCTATGCTGTCAGCTGTTCTTGTGGTTTTTTGTTCTTAACCTCTTTCGTCTTCTCTTCTTCTTCGAGTCTGGCCTGAATGGCCTTTTACTTTTGTATCTTGTCAGCAGTAGCGAAGAGGAGAGGAAAAGTAATTGACTTACTTTAATTAAAACCTAGTTGTAAATAATTAAAATATACTAGAAGAATTATAATAATCTATTATAAGTTTGTCATTTTTATAGTGTCCATCATGGACATTTTTTGGTTGGACTTCTGAATCGATATATCTATTGGATAACGGAAAATGGATGTCCAATTGACATCCATTTGAAGTTCATGGACATCTAGGACAAAATATGGACGCCCAATAGACGTCGTGTGCTCTCTGGGTAGAGAAAAAGGGCTTAATTAAAAAAACTTTTATTTTAGCAACAGGACACGTTTGTAGATGTTTTTAAAAATGAATTATGTGGCATTTTATCATCCATATTGTTTTTGTGATACGCTTGATATGGAGAGATGTAGTAAAATGATTTGCGAGTAATTTGGCATTATTTATGTATACAGTTTACAGTTATTTAAACAGCAGGTGATTCAAAAAAATCAACAAATAGTCGTAAATTTTTAAATTTATGATACATAATTGCGTTGCTTATCATCACTGATTTATTATTTGTCTACATATGTTTATCTCCAAGTAGGTACTCATTGAATATTGAATGACCCTAGCAAACGAATGATAAGATAATAAATAACTACTCCTTGTTGTGTTTCATTGCAATTTATGTTAGTTTGTTCTAAGTTTGTATAGAGATTAGATACATACATACATACACAAGTGCTAGTAACTTTTCGAATAGTTAAAAATGGCTAAAGTTAGTGTAGATTTGCAAGATATTGAGGTAAGTTAATAAATATTATTACCAATATTAGATAATGTAGGTAATTAATCTAATTTTAACAATATTTTACGTTTAAACATTCATATTATTTCAATATAAATGATATATTTCAAAATACATTGAGCAATACATTTACATTTGTCCTTGTTTAAAATCGCGTCATTTACTAGTTTTACAACAACTAAAAGTTACTATAAAATATATGTTAAATTACTTAATGTCCCCATTAAAAGTGTCTATAGGCCCAACCCTATTCTATTACTAGATATTTAGATACATGGTGTTGAAATTAAAAATCCCTAATTCTTTAAAATGGACACCAAAAATCAGCCTTATATGTACTATAATCAAAATATTGTCACTTAGGGTGATTCATGATTCCGCAGATATTTTTCGGTCAAAGTAGGTATTTTCACCAAAAAAAATAACTGAAATGCCAAAAAAAAACTACCACCATACCAGAGTTGGGTAGTATCCGGATACTTCTATATCCGGATACAGTATCCGGATACTTTATGTGCATCCGAAAGCAGTATCCGGATACTTCTCAAATTTTGTATCCGGTATCCGTATCCGTGACCAAATTTGTAAGTATCCGGATACTGGATACTTTTTTCGGCATTCGGATACTTTTGGAATTTGGAAAAAAATTGAACATTAAAAAGTACCCATTCTACAGACATTTCTAAAAAAAAAAAATGCTGATAACCAAATATTTTCTAAGAAAAGTTGCAAGATTTTGATGTTCCTAACCTAACATTTTATAATTTTCTTACAGTTTTGCAAAGAGTTTCAGTATCTAACTGGATAAAATATGTAAATATTTACAAGAATGAAATTTTCTTGAATCAGAGAATTATTTAAAAAATATGGCAAACAAAATTTTTATAAATGAATCAAAATATTATGTATTTATAAAATAATTTCAATTATTTACAAAATAAAATATGTAGCTGCACACATTCTTTTGTAGATCAAAAGTTGTAGATATACCTACCTAAGGCGAAATGCCTATAAAATTGTAACTTTAACAGAAAATTTCTTATCTGTTTTAGAAATGTATCTACAATATGTAATACTTTTTAGAGTAATCAATGTTTTTTTCCAAATTTCAACGTAAGTACCTAAAGCGTACCGGAGCCAAAATATTCATTTACTAGCAATTTAAAAAAATTTAAATTTGTAGAATTTTTTAATTCTGTTTGAAACAAAATCATCATAAAAGTTGCTTCCCAAGTATATAATAATTTCAAACGCGCAAACGCAACACGTAAGGGACTCTTCAAGCGATAGGACTCGGGGGGATGGTTAAGAAAAAAATATCTGCGTACCGCTCGTCGGAGGATCCACAAAAAATGGATTGTCGAATACAGCACAAGTAGAAGTTGGAAAGGCTTTTGCCAATTCTCCCACTTTATACACATAAATTGACAGGTTTGTGGCGAATCTAACCGAAGTGGACGCGATACATTGGCGTAGAAAATTTTGTAGATGTTAATAACAATTTCAAGTAAATAGTTTAATAAATTGAGGATAGCTGTTGAAATTTTGTAAAATTATGATTTGAATATTATAATACATGTTTAATACAATGGGCCTAATGAGGCCTAAGTACCGTGGGGGTAACCCACCTTCCACACGTTACAGATACAGAGAGATAAATGTTTAATAATTATTTATAGTCCATAAATACATGCGATCGTCCGGTAACAATTTAAAATTACTAATTCTATGAAACGACACTGGCAGGTAAACATTACTGCGAAATTCTCGAAACCGTCCGTCGTGGTTTGACGTTTACCCCTTCTCTACCTACGAAAAGCCTTTCCAACTTCTACTTGTGCTATACATCTGACACTGACGAAAATATCGAAAGGTTGTGTCGTTTTATTTTGTAACGGTTGGAACCGTTATTTTGTTATTTCGACACAATCATCTCTTACTCAAATGTCATTTGTCGTTTATGTCTTGTGTTAAAAGTTTTCATTTTCATTTTATTTAAATAGATCACATGTGATAACAAGTAAATAAAATAACTAGATATCACGTTACAATTTAGACGCACCTTTATGTTTTATTGTTCATTTTGTTTTAATGTTTTATATTCACAGAATAAAAATAAACAATTTATTGAGTAGTTTTTTTTCTTTTTCTATTATATCGCTTTCCATTTTCGATAATTTATTTATGCTTGGTATTGTTTATTGTTACTCGTAATCAATCTTATTGCATAATTATAACTATTGGAATGAAAACATTATTTTAACTCACTTTAAAAGTATCCTTTAAAGTATCCGGATACTTGTATCCGAGTACTTTTTAGGTGAAAGTATCCTAAAAAGTATCCGGATACATTGTAAGTATCCGTATCCCGTACTCGGATACCTTTTTCCTGTATCCGACCCAACTCTGCACCATACAAAGTTTCTCAATATTTGATATTGTATATAGTTCTCGATGTACATATGAATTTTAAACAATAAATATACACCGACATATAAGTAGATATGTTCAAGAGAAATACCGTATATTAAATATTTTAACACACTATATTGGATTAAGAATGTACCGTCTTGTACTAGTTGGAGGCAAAATTTGGTACTTACAGGGTGATCACAGTTGAATATGTAAGATGAAAAAATTAAAAAATTAATCGACTCACCTTAAGAAAGATAAATTATAAGTTTCCTTCGCTTATCCTTGAAATAATTACATTGTAGTTTCCTTGAAACATACTCATCAGCAAGTATTTTTTATAGAGTAAACAAAATGCCCCATATTCACTGCTCCTATCGTATACCAATCCTATATACACCGTGTCCCACGTAAGGCGGGCATTACAACTTTATGGAGAATAAATTAATTTGTATTTTCGCCATTTTCTGAGTATACATAATCGAATATGCTCTTTTGAATTAAAATAAAATGAACTCTGTGCAACTTCCGGTTATACCGGAAGTGACCACTAACTTCGTTATTTTAAAGGGAATACCCCATATTTTTTTTTAATTTTAGATTCAGCATGAAATTCTGTAAACAACGATACCTCATTTGCCTATTCTAGTTATAGCGGATTTGGCGTTATTCAATTTTTTTCTACATTTTTAGTCGCCGGTAGACATTTTCTTAAAGTCGTCTATCTCAGGTACTATATCTATCAGATACTTAAAATTTTAACCAGAGGTAGTAGATGGGATGCTCTTCTTGAGAATATTTAGTTATTCATTATTTGTTGTACGGGGTGTTTGCAAATTATTTTTAAAAATGAAATTTTTTAAACATAAAAAACTTTTTTATTTTAAATTAAACACCCTATATATTTTTTAAATTTAGGATTCAGCATGAAATTCTGTAAACAATGATACCATATTTTCCTATTCTAATTATAGCGGATTTGGCGTTATTCATTTTTTTTAATTTTTAGTCGTCGCGCCGGTAGGCATTTTCTTAAAGTCGACCGTCTCAGGTACTATTTCTGTTGGATACTTGAAATTTTAGCCAGAAGTAGTAGATGTACTTTTAAAAACATTTACAGTTTTCTGCAACAAAATATGTCGTTTAAAAAGTTTAAATTTTTTTAATGATAAGGTACATACTAACTAAAAACAATTTTTATTAAAAGCACATGGTTTAAAAAAATAATTTTATCAAATGTTCAAAATGCCCCCCGTTAGCTTCTAAACATTTTAACAATCTTTTTTCAACATGATTAGTTGTTGCTTTACGAATCATTTCACCATCTAACTCGTTAAAGGCATTCCGAACTCTTTGCTCTAATTCTTCTTTAGTATTAATTTGGGTAGAGTACACTAAATTTTTAATATGACCCCATAAAAAAAAATCAACAGGAGTTAGATCTGGCGATCTTGCAGGCCAAAGCCAAGGACCATTTGGACCTATCCATCGGTCTTCAAAGAGTGCTGTAATTTCTTGATTTACATAGTATGTTGAATGTGCTGGGGCACCATCCAACTGGTACCAAAAATTATTATTTGGTAGCTGGTTTAAAATGTCGGCAACTACTTCTCCAAGAATTCTAATGTATCTTTCTGAGGTCAGTCTTTCATTATAAATGTAATAAAAAGCTCTTCCAAAACCGATCACTGCAAACACATTAAAACTAAATTCGTACTGAAATTGTGCTTCACGATAAAAATGTGGATTTTCGTTTGCCCAGAAATGACATTGCTTGCGATTGATGATCCCTTTACGTGTAAATTTCGACTCGTCTGACCACAAAATTTTGTTTAAAATCTCGGGATCTTCTTGAATTCGTACCAATAACCATTCGCATAATTCAGTTCGTCTTATTTGATCACCATCTCGCAACTCATGAACTTTTCTTTGTGCATAGGGATGCCATTTATTTAGTGCTAAAATTCATTGTATTGACCCTCGACTAATATTTAAATTATCTTGAGCCATTCTGATGGAGGCGTGAGGATACGCAGTAAAATACCCTAATACGTTAATTAGATTAACTTCTTCATCTCGGACATAATGTTGACGGTTTCTTCCCGGGTTTTGTTTAAAATTATTAAAAAAGTTAACTTCGATTCTATCAAATTTCTGTCTGTTCATTGGTGGTAAATGAGGGTATCGTTCATTAAACATGCGGCAGGTTCTACTTTTGATTCGATTACATTCTCCATGAATGTAAAATAAATTAAGAATATCTTGGTTGGTATATTCTTCAATATTTTCCATATTTTCCATATTTTGAACGCAAAAAATACACAACATAAATACATAGAAATATGACAATTCAGTTTGTTGACAGATTGTTGTTTAGCATATTTCCACGGCATACTAAGATAAAAAATTAAAATGTAAAACTATACTATATAATGTAGGTGCATGCGTAAAATTGAAATTTAAATTTTCTTAAAATTGGTGAGAGATAATTATAGGGAATTAATAGTGCAAATGAAGATCAATGAAGAATAATTTTCTGAACAAAATGAAATAAAAATATACAGGATTTTCCATTTAAAATAAAA